CTTTTTCTTCACCTTCTTTGTAGTTGTGATGCTATACTTTAATTTGCGAATACACTATGCCCACGCTGTTGCAGGCTAAAGCTGGGTTTGCAGGCTAAACATGGGAAAAACGCTGATTCTGCACAAACTTCCGCTCCTCAGGTGCTGTTTCATTGCTTTTCAATCCTATGTGTATTTAAGACCGCCGCTGCATCATGGGCAACTTTTGAAGGTGTCACCAAAAAATACTAATAGTTCAGTTGTACACTCATGTGAGGCATGTCTTTGGCCTCTCTCTGGGAACAGAATGCATCAATGTTTCCGGGCAGGAATTTGGCCGTAAATAGTTTGTTGTTGGTTTAGGCTTCAAATAAAAGTGATGTGTTCTCTAGTAAAAATAGACCAAACTGATGTATTAAATGAAGCCGCTTTGCAAACTGCCCTGGGTATGGAAGTAAAGTCCCTGTTTATTGTCCACATACTGTTTTTTTTAGATGAACAATTTGTTCATTTTCAAGTAGTATAAAACATGAAAATCTCAACAGCAAGACTCACTGTGGATGGGTCAGAATACACAATGTACAGAAAAGTTATATTGTTATCAATTTCAACAAAATATTATGCGTTCATAACTTTGCAGCCCCTAAAGTTTCAGAAACTTGTTGTCATTGTTGAGTGCACAATATAGTCTTGTCCAAAAATCCTTATGCAAAAATGAATAGGAATTTTCTTTACTTCTTTGGGATGATACAAATGAGTATGAAATAGTTCTAATTGAACCATGGCTTTTCCCTGCGATCTTAAATGCATATGCTGGCCTCGTCTGAATAGTATCTGGTTTACATGGTTACATTGGTACTGTATGTATACGTGAACGGGGTAGAAATGGTTTGGTCCAGTTATGCCAAATATAATGGGTTTTCATGTAACAATCAGCCTGCCCGGGTTTACATGCGTCTTGCTCAAACAATAATGTGTGAATAATAATTACCTTTTGAATACAATGGTAATCATATGAAATGTAAAACCCCATATGTAGAAAGTTTTAGAGAAATGGTCCCATGCTTTGAGAGTGCAAACATTAGTATTTGACTGTACAGCTCATTATTAGGCTCTGTGTGGCCTTGAAGGGGAAAGCTGCAATGGTCACACCAGGGCCATATGCCAGTTATCATAACCTCCCACACTTCAAACACAAGACGCCCAGCTTGTCCGACTCCTTCTCCCTCCCACCTCCTCGTGCAATAGGAATGCATTTTCTGGTGGGTAGAGGAGGTACAGCTTGGTAGTGCTCGGAACAGAGGAGCATTTCATTTCCTGTAAAAAAAACAAAGTTGAGGCTGGCATTCCTGAGGGGGAGGAGGGTCACTGTGCTCCTGAAGTCTGCTGTTTGTGTCGGGCCGGAGCTTGTGAAGAGCTGGCCTGCTGCCCCTGTGGAAAAATGGTATGAAGATGCAAAGGCGGTAATGGATGATGTAGCGAAGGTTTATTGGGGATAGACAGAACACGCAAAGACAGTGATTTTATACCCAGGCTGCAGAGGTTTGGGATCGTGTTTCAGCAGAAGACATGTTCTGTTGTTGGAGGGCCGCGTAAACGATACGACCAGAGTTTCACAGCGTTGATATGGTTTCATACCAAGACAAAAAGACAGAATCCCTCATCAGCCTCTGCCACGGTACCAACAGACAAGTTTTCGTCAACCTCAAACATCAAGTGGAAAAGTACTGACTTTTGTAATGTCTATCAAAAGATCCATATTAGACCTATTATGGCATACTGTCCCTATTATCTTTAGGCATGCCTCGATACCGATACAATCAAATAATGATCCAGGAATATCTGTTGGATCTAGTTTTAGAATGGGGAATACGGATTATGTAAAGTACATTTTAATACTTTCACTCAAACAACTTGGTACAGGTGTTTGATTGGAGCAGGGTTGCCATACAGGAGGCGCATGCGAGACCTATTGTACAAATATTAGTGGTAGGGACCCGTAGGGAACCTATGCAGACACGGGGAGAACATGCAAACGCTAAACAGAAGGAATTGAACCCAGGACCTTCTTGCTGTGAGGCACAAGCACTAACCACTGTGCCAGCCTTAATAATTATCTTCTCAATATGGAATCAAAAGGTTTTGTTTTCACTGCCCACAATTATTATAATTATTCAACTTTGTGCACGAACAAATGCGTAATAGATAGTTAGTTACTGCCCATGAAGAAATCTAAGGCATGTCACGTTATATACCGACTGAATTTCTTTTGAACCATTAAAGTTGTAGCTCTGCCATTTATGGTCTTGAAAAACGTAGCTCCATCAAGCTAGATCCAGCTCGATGTGTCCTTTTTTTTGTCTTGTAATGTGAAATACAGAATGTTTTACTCTTTTTCCAGTAGCCGCACAGTAGTCGTCAGTTTGATATAATAATGATGAAGTCCACATAGAAAGCACACAAACAAGAGTCCCCTTGCCTTGCCTTGTGTCCCCTCGGGCCTCTTCCCCCGGGGGGCAGGAAGGCCAAAGCTTTTCATGTGAGCCGAAGAGGGCAGGGGGAAGCAGGGTGCAGTGGCGTTCACCCGGGCCGGCTTTGAGCTGCAGGATGAAAAGGGGCCGGTGGTGGTGGTGGTGGCGGAGGTGAATAAAAGCATCTGAGCGCCTGTGTTCTTTTTCAGCGTGCACTCGGGGTCAGCGCCGCCTCGGTCGCGCCGCGCTTTCATCCGCATGTGCTAAAGCAGTCTGGACCATGTGTCTCAGCAGCTGACTTCTCTCCTACAAAAACACACTTCCGACTCAGTCACTGGGGAGCAGCCAGCGATACAGAGTTTTTCCCCCCACTTTTTTCTGGTCTCCACAAAACAGTTTCCAGTCGCGAGAGGCAGCTATACGCACCTCTGTCTCCGCCGCTCGGCTTTGATCACACAGTCTATTTGAAGCAGCTTGGGCCGAAAATAACTCTCCCTGGCTTGTCAATAATGGCTCTTAAGTCTTTTATGCGCGCTTGGGCCCTGATCACGAGAGAGAGAATACTTTCACTGCTTGACACATTATTTGCAAGTGAGGAAGAAGAGGAACTTTGAGTTTTAAAAGTGGAGAGAGCTGTCACTGATGCTGTGATCTTATTTTAGATGGCACTTGTAAGAAAAACAGCCAAAAATAATTGTTTGCTATTTGCGAAAGGCTGTGGCCTACACTGTAATGTGTCATATTGAAGTTTAACTCAAGCAGACATACAATGCAAAGTTACAATATTATACCTTCATAATAAACAAAACTGGAGTTGTTTTGAGATCCGTTCACGCAGTATGATAAAGACCTGCATCTGTTTTCTCTCATTATTTTACTTTACAACTTTTTTTCTCTTGGGACAAACATCTATCTATTTAAGATATTGTTATGGCACTTTCCGAGTTAGTTTTATTCATTATATATTGAAAGACACAAGCGGAGAAAGCCCCAACATTCTCCCATGATACTGACTAACTATGAATGGATAGAACTATTGCAGAATGAAAAAGTCTTCCCTCCCTTTACACATCGAAGCAAAGAAGACAGACCAAACCCTTGTCCAGCAAATTAGCATCACCCCATGAACCTTTGCCTCCCCTTCTTCAGCTCTTCTTGTTTTCCTTTGGGCCACATGCCGGGCCGGCCTAAACGCCAGCAGAACACACAGCGTTGAAAGAGCAGAAAGCAGGAGCGTGTGAGTCAGCTGAGGGCAGGGAGCAGAGCGTGCTAACCCCTCTCCTCCTCTCTCGCCCCTCCCTGTGGCGGACCAGATCAAAGGAGGACCGGCCCACATCCTGCCCCCCCAGACCTGTGACCTATACCGACACTGCTTCAGCCCTGCCGCTTATAAGTCCTCCTTTCTTTCAACCGTCCCCAGCGCGGGACAAAACAATACTCATGATGGATTGTGTTGAAGTTGTGCTTGTGAGTCTGCGCCTCGCCCAATGAAAGAAAACAAGGAGGTGGAAAGCGACGCCGTTCAAAAAGCATGATGTGATTATATGTATTGATTTGAAGGAGTACAGGCAGCAATTAGTTTCCTTTGGGATCGCTCATTCAACTCATTTATATCCATCTCTTTCCCGTCACAAAGCTGGTAAAAACAATTGTGAGGCAGGAATTGGCTTTAAAAAGTTATCGCTCCATGCTGATAGAATGAAGGATAAATCATTGGTCAACTCCCCCTTTTGGACCAATGCCAATTGTTTGTGTTTAAACTGTTTTATTCTCTGATTTGTGATCGCGATTTCAACGGTTTTGTTAAGTCCTCTGAGATAACTACTGTTGTGAATTTGGACTATACAAGAATAAATTGTATTGAATTGACACTTTAGGCTGCATTAGAAAAAACGTTTTTTTCCCCCCAACAAAGTACTAGATGACGGAGCTTTTGAACATGACAATATACATCATTTCAAAGACACCAACCCTTGAGAAACTAGTCCACACATAATTGATAATTGATATGACCGAGGTTCGCCGTGACTTTAAAGATCCCTTGAGTGTTATGTCTTGTCCAAGTCTTCCCAATTCCAATTTGTGAAGGTCCACACACTTATTTTCAGCTAACTTGCTTTATGGCTTTTTGCTGTCGTCCCATGTGTGCACTTGTAATATACTGGTCATCCAAATGATTAATCGACAAATACATCAATTAGTAGTGAAGAAACTAACAAAATATGCGGAGGTCTTGTGTCTCAGCAGGAGGCAAAATATAGAAGCTCCACTAAGCATAGTAGTAGTCGTTTTTGTCATTGTAGCAGTTGCAGTAGCAGTAGCAGTAGTATTAGAATTGTGAGCACTTTCTATCCAGCAATCTGGCTACCCACAAACGTTTTCTTCCATATTTTCGTGTATCTATATCTCTTATTGATTTTAGTCGTCCTCTATCTCTTGTAAAGTTCAGAGCTCCACCTTATGCCTGTTTCAAGTCTTTCTGGAACAGGCTATAGACCCCAAACTGCAGACCACTCACCCATCTCTCTCACTCTTTTTGTGCTCAAACAGGAGGAAAGCGGAACAACTTCTCCACATGCAAAGCGAAGGCAGCAGCTCCGGGCCCTCTGCTTGAGATGGAGGCCTGCTAGAAGACCCTTGGAACAGTCCAACCTAAAGCCTCCACTTCTCAGAGGACCCCCACTCTTCCCCTGAACTTACCCCCTGCTTCACCCCCTGCTACATGCTGACCACCACGGCTGAACAGGCTCCACCGTCTCACTGTACCCAGAGACCCTGAACTGAATAAGACAATCACGTTTACCCGCCCACTCAACCATCGACTCAGCTTTATCAAAGGCACTGCACTGAAACCCAGCAGCCACTCTCCACGTGCGCACAAGAGCTCGCCCTCTCACTCCTGTTCTAAGTTATTGTAAGTTATTTGTCGCCTGGGTTTGGTTTGTACAGTTCATCAGGCCATCGTTCTGTCCCCACTCCCCTTTTTCTCTCACTGGATCGACCTTCGGGATTCCACGCCCAGCTGACCAAACACCTCTCGATAAGACTGCACTAAAGGAAGATGGAGGGATCTCATCTTGTCCAAGAAACGTCCTGACGCCACCACTTTCGTCCATGACCGGTCGGTGCGAAAAAGGACTTTGATTTGCTCTTCATTTTATTTTGAATGCTTTTTTTGTACCTTGGATTCTCGTTTCAGTTTCATGGTGTACATTTTTGTGATATTTTTTAATATTGTTTTTTTTTATATATATCGTGGTATATATGAAAATAAGCTTTGGACACAGGAAAGCCATTTTTTCTTGTTGAAGCGTCATGCAGAAAATTGAAAGGCTTCTTTTGATAACTATTTGTAACAAATAGTGACCTCAAGTCTTGCTCAGATGTAAAATAATGCTCAGTATGTGTACTTTTTAAAACTGTCGGGATATGTCACTTTTCTTGGTATTTTTGCAGGCAACATTAGGACAAAGGCGAGAGTGAAGCCTATATTTTATTGTTGGAAATCATGACAAATGAAGCAGATATATATATTTACCCCAGCACTTGGCAGTCTTTTCTTTTATTGCAATGGACCTTTTGTCTCTTTCTCTGGTAGCTAATAGTGTGGTCTTTTGCCATGTTGTTTATTCCATTCAAGCATCTCTGTAACATTTTGATTTCAATGTTCTATTTTAGTATTACTTGATCAATTCCTTTATAATTGTCATCCTTTGAACTGTTTCAACATGTTTTTGTTGTTTTTTAAAGAAAATAAAAAAATGCACACTCGGCTTTTGGTCCAGTTACTTTTTTTAATTTTAGACCCGCCCCACAGACTCTGGATTGGACTCAACTGATTCCAATCTTTGACAGACAGTTTAGGCGTCTCACCATTGGTCTGGCTATTCTCCTCCAGCCAATGTTACTGGTGGTGGTTATGCCATGGGAGGGACTGCTTATTATATGCTGCACTATAAACCGCTAGTTTAAGATAAAATAAACTTTATTGATCTCACAATGGAGATCAATAAAGTTGTATTTTTATTGTGGTAGAGTGTCTCCTGGGACGAAGGAAAACATTTAGACACTGCTCTAGATTTATGTTGATTTTTTGTTTTTATTGATAGTTTATGACACACAGTCATTGTCAAAATAGATAATTGGTCCTGACACGGAACCTAATAGTTAATGTTTCGCCTCTTCAGAGTTTATTGATTTAAATATAAAGCTTTGTCCATAACGAGTCAACAGTGCGTTAAAACACCTTATTATCAAACCATTTTGTGTCCAGTGTTTTTTGTTTTTCTTTATCAGCTGTTGATTCAGTGTTACAATACAAAATTAAAACCTGAGACTTATAATCAAGTGTGGCCTGTATGTGGACAACATGTATTCCTCTTGTAGCTGGTGCAATTAATAGTCAGCAAATACAAAATATAAATAAATAAAATACAAATGCAGCTAACGTGCATTGAAATATCCAATGAATTTAGATTAGATTTTTTTTCTTCATGGAAATCATTCCCTCCTTGTTCCTCATCATCAGTCTCTACGCTATAATTGTGTTACTCCAGAAATGATCAATCTTAAAGTTTAGATTTAAAAGAACATCCTGTCTCCTCTGGAAGCTGTGCATTTTCATAAAGCTTTTAGTTTCAGATTATTTTTGAAGTAGAGGCTTTTAATAAGACAGCCAACATCAAAGGCTTCTATTTATAGACGAGCTGCATCTGCTTGGGCGAGCACGTTGACGGAGAGACAGCGTCCCCCTGTGGCCTTTAGGAGAAATGTACGTACTATTAGAAACGTAGCATAGTATAGTAGATGGAATATCAGATTACATTCGAGGTAAAATAAGCAAAGTGTAAGTGAGTGAACAAAAGTACATCACTCGCCAATATAATGCAAACAATATTTTCTTAAATGATAATAAATCCTCACCAGGTTCAGATTTCCTCCCTCAAGTGGAAGAGTTCAAGTGTCTCAGGTTCTTGTACAGTATTGAGGAGGGAATGATGGAGCATGAGATTGACAGGCGGATCAGTGCAGTGTGGTGAGTGATAGTAAGTAAGTAGAGTTTATTTTTGTAGCGCCTTTCACAGACCAGGTTCACAAAACGCTTCACAATTAAAACATACAATGAAAAATAGTACACATGCAATGTCCGTTCCATAAAAAACAAACATACAGAATAATCATAAACACACTTCAAATAGGCCTGTATGTACAGTGAGGCGAGAAAACCTGCCTGAACAAATAGGTCTTAAAGGAGCAATATGTAACAAAAATCTGGCCGAAATTTGTACTCTCCCACTCTCCCTGACTCAGGTTGCCAGATATTCGCATAGTCCTGGGTAAAGAGTGAAGAAACAGAGGGCTTAAAATGCAGCCTTCGGAGCAGTGGGGGCGGGTTTCGGCTCAAAAGTGTCCAAAATGACGTGCGCTGACATGCTTGCAATACCACCCCGGGCCGATGGGGGTGGACCCAGAAGTAGAATTAGCCAATGCTAACATATAGCATTGGCAGACCTCTCAAAAACGTCTTTACAGGATGGTCCAAAAGTTGGCTCTTGGCCCAAAGCTCCGTTCCACATGTGTGTCAATGCTGAGGGGGGGGATTTTTTTGGACCACTCTAGTTTACTTGCTGTGAATTTTTGAAGTCTCTCGTTCAAATGAATGGAGTTGCGCCGGCTGACGCATGCGCAGATGCGTTTTTTCACAATTTTCTTGTGGGCGGGACATGGGGCGGGACCACTCACGGCCATTTTGGATTGCTCCAGTAGAGCACATTTTTGGCCCATTAGTTAGAACGGCGGACATAGGCGTGGCTCTGTCCGTTAATATATACAGTCTATGCTTCGGAGTAGCCAAAACTGACAGGTTTTATGGTTGAGGTTATATTCCTGGGCTGCTCTCGAAGAAAACTGAACCCCCACCTGCACAGGGACGCCATAGCACCAGAATGTATTTAGGTAGAGTGTTACTATTAGATAGCAATAAGGCCTACGTGCAGGACTCTACAAGGACTCTGATGATGACTCCAGGTTTTGACTATCATGTGCACCGTCTCTGTGTGACACGTACGTCTTTCGATGTGTGACGTGACAATGACTATATAAACTGTGTACTGACTCCATTTTGTCTGAGAGAAGGAAACAATTGAAACCACTGGAACTTGAGAGAAACTTAAATAAACTTCCAGAGTTTGGCGCACCACGATCCGTCTCTGTCTGGTTCATTCCTGACAAGAGTTACTTCAACATTGGGTGGGTTTTCAGAATAGAATTACTTTCCGAAATGAAAAGAATCATTGTAATATGATTTTTAATTAAACCTTAATTAACCAGGAGAACCTAATTGAGATGAATAATCTCTTATTCAAGAGTGTCCTGGACAAGAGACAACCCATGAGTAAGTAATGTATAATTATTTCACATCCCAGGGTCACCCAAAGCGCATTACAATGTTCAGAGTTCAGAGTTGGTTCCATTCACACACGCTGATGACGTAAGCGAGATGCAGAACACACTGGATCAAAGCCTCCAATCAACACCCTCCATTCAATCACTCACTCATTACATTCAGACCTATTTTGCAGGTTTTTAGTGGTAGGGGAAACCAAACCCGGAAACCAAACCAAACTCTACGCAGGCATAACATGTAAACTCCACTCAGAAAGGCCCTGTTCCAACCAGGATTGTAACACAGGACCTTCTTGTTGATAAGCGAGTGCTAACCACTAAGTGACCGCGCCACCCAACATTCAACATTAAAACATAAAGACATATAAGCTAAAAATTGTGGCTTCTAATTCTTGGCCTCCTTAATATCAGAAAACCATGCTCTTGGGCCCAATGACCAAAACAGGACACGTGTTAACACATCTATGGTTTCTATCCATTTGCGCCATCTACTGGCAGTACTGCAAAAAAAACACACATTTGTTACTTTAATTGGACATAGATATGCAGCATGGAAGCTGAGTGGTTAGCTGTCTTCACTTCTCAGCAAGAGGGACCTGGGTTCTGTTCCACCTACACCTGTCTGTCTAGGCTTCCTCTGTGTGCTCCAGTTGTACAAAAATAATTTATATTAATGCAAAAGTTGTTGGACAAAGATCTTGGCAAAACTACTTTGCCTACAAATAAATGACAATAAAACAAACCAAACCTAGTGTTTTTTATTTTTTATTGTTTACAAGTTTTCAATCTTGAAAAAGGCACACCGTCCAGCCTGAGCTTTGAGTCTAGGGACAAGTCCAGAAGTGTAGTTAATGACTGATCCATTTGGATTCATTTACCAAAGGAAATACACTTAAACTACTTGTATTTGTAAAATCCTTCTCCTGTCTTCTTCCCATATTTCCCTTCAGCGACCAGTTTGTTAAGAATTTCACTTGGGGCAAAAAGTGGATTTTCAGGGTCCATTGAACTCCAGCCTAAACAAAATAGAAAATTGAAAGGTTACTGTAGTGGGCAGCCTGTACCACAACCACACAACCAACGTCCTTCTCAATGGCAGTCGCGTTTCAAAGCAACCACTGTGTCAACCATTGACCATTGCATACATAAGTTCACAAGTCTGGGAAATATGAAATCAAATTGCAGAATAGCAAAACTCCATAAAAAGTAGTGGTCAAAAACCATTGGCACCCACCGGGTCGCACACCTGAACACATCATTAGCCAGGCCCATTTATACTAGACCTAGTCTTCCCCACTGCCGCTCCCCTATATCAGCTCGCTCCATAATTCTTTCCTGGACCAATCATAACTTTGTTCGTCTTTAAAAAATTGTCTCCGACAATGTATGACACTGACTAAAAAGGTCACTTATTGAACAAAACTTTCTGGTCTTATTTGACGAGCACTTATCACCAGAATGATTGACAATCCTTATATATACCTTTAATCTATTAACTATGTTTTGTCACAAGCTTAAGTTACCATCCATGATGAACTTTGCAGTGTCCAATCCAACGTAGTCCAGAAGCTCGAACGGCCCCATAGGATAACCAGCCCCAAGTTTCATTGCAATGTCAATGTCCTCTTTGGATCCATGGCCTGGACACGACAATCAGTAAGTAAGATGCCGTTAAACAAGAAATCCAATTGGATTTAAAGAAAGAAACAGAATAAGGACTTCAGATTAGACCTCTTTCATGCAAGCGAATGGCCTCCATCATGTAAGGAACCAGCAGGCGGTTCACAATGAAGCCAGGGGTGTCCTAAATAAAGCATCAGTTAGCGTTGCCTGCCGAGAAAGTGTTTAGGAAAAATCATATAAAATTATTTTCAGAACCTTGCAAGACACGGGCGTTTTCCCCAAGGCTTTACTGAAGTTCAAAAGAGAGTCAAATGTGTCCTGGCTTGTGGATGATGTTCCTATAACCTGCAAAACAGTAATTAATACTATTGTCAACTACTGAAGTGTTTTTTTTTTTTTTTTTACTTAATTAATTTTGATCATCTTACCTCTACAAGTTTCATCATTGGAACTGGATTGAAAAAGTGAAGACCCCCAAACCGGTCCAGTCTGGTTGTGGAGCTGGCGATGTCTGTGATTGGCAGAGAGGAAGTGTTGCTGGCAAAGATTGTCTGCCTATGGTTGAAAAGTAAACCAGAAAAATAACACGCGTTATTGTTTGTCTAAAGTCTAAAGATTAAATTAAGAAAGTCTGTTAGAGCTGGGGTATCTAACTTATCTGTTTTATAAATAGTAGTTAGGTTTTGTTTGTCACAAGAAAAGAGTCTTGTCAAATTGGAACAAATCAGATCACAACATACAGTCCTCATCCTAGTAGATATCATTTGCATTCTTGTAAAAAGAGCCTTGTGAGGCACTATTTGGCACTTTGGGCTGATTGTGCATATTTTCCAGTTTTCTGTATGAAAAAGTTGATCTATAGCGAACTATCTGAATGACGTCACTAAGACACGCCCCCGCCGCCTGTCAACTCCCGCCCACATGTTTTGGACAAACACTGCCAAAATGAATCAAATACCACTTGTCACTTTAGACGAAAATGATAAACCAGGGGCAAAATTCCACCATCAAACCATCAGGGATCATAGTGTAGACCAATTATAACGTTGGCTTGAATGTCGTGGTCTTCCAGTAACTGGTAGAAAGTTTGATTTGATAAAAAGGTAATGGTGAGGATTATGCTAACATTATCTAGTCATTTAAATTGCAATGTTAGCGCCTTCTTTGTTTATTTTGCTGTGATTAACTTCCATTTATCAAGTTGTTTTTTGTACTGTCCATTTCGTAATTAGTTTGATCATTTAGTTAACTACAGTCAGCCGATATTATAATAGATCCATGGGGTCACAACGGGCTACACCACTACTGTCTCTGAGAGAGAAACTATCGGAGCTAGCCACACTCAGTAAACGCAAACGACAATCAATCAACATATTTAAATGTTAATGCTAGAATATAATATTCATACAACACACGTGCACAGAGGTTTTCAGAATTATCTGTTAAGGTTTTCATGACAAAAATACTTTTTTAATGCGACTAAAGCGATCGCTTTTTTAAAGTAGGTGAACTAAAACCTTTGGGAACTATTTTCTTTGCACTCATTAAATAAACCTTTTGGCATGAATAGTGACAGAAGTTTATTTTGTGTGTTCAGTTGGTACAAAGCCGTATAATAAGCGGACCCCAACGCGCTTCGTCTGTACTTATTTTCCGATAGTCACAAAGTTGAAAAAATCCCTCTCATCTTTCTTCAGGTGTGAGAATTGTATACATTCTGGATTAGGACAAACAATACTAATATGGATTGATGGGGCTAACTACATTCAGAAGAGCTCAGACGGACCTGATACAGCGGTCCAGGTCCAGTCCCAGCTAAACGTAGCTAGGACTGGATCTGGAGGCTCCACAGTTGGTCCAGCGAAGTGTTTTGAAAAAACATGTCCTTTTTTACATTTTCATGAGAGAAATTCTGCTGACCACAAGCACCCACCTCTTGCACTTGTCCTAGTCTGGTCCTGGTCTGGTTCGATGGTGTGGTTTAACGAACAGGTTGAATGTTACTGCTTTCATATAGTCCTTTTCAGAGTATCTGAAATCGCTCCCACAAGCACCATAACTGCAGTGTTTTGTTGTCACCATGATTCAATGATTTAGCCCAAATAAATACACACGCTTATGTGGAGAACACAGTAGTACTCAACGGAGTCGGACAGAGTTTGTCCGAAACATGCGCGCATGCGCAGTCATTGGAACTATTTTTAGCACATTTCGGAAACCGGACAGTGCCCTATTGATGTGATAAAGGCCAATAATAGAACCAGAGAGTGATAAACTAGCTACATGGAGTATCATATAGTTCAATTAAATAGGGTACCCCAGCTTTAAATGTGCAGCCTGTAAACTTACTCTGGAGCAACCTCATCAAGAGCACTGAAGAGGACCTGTTTGATTTGAAGATTTTCCACAATAGCTTCCAACACCAGGTCTGTGCTCTGGGCTGCAGCTTGTGCGTCTGAACAGGTGGAAACATTGCTCAAAACTTTCTGGATGAATTCTTCCCCTGCCTATGACAAAAATGCATCTGCTTATTGAACAATTAACTATAAACAATCATGTCAATTGGCAGTCGCTCACTTGTGGATTATCTGCGTACTTCTTCTTGACCACTCTCTTCAGGCTTCCTTCAATGCCCTTGACAGACTTCTTGAGGATGTGTTCAGATGTGTCCACCAGCGTCACCGTGTGGCCAGTAGATGCAGCTACCTTTGGAACGTGTAAATGTTTGGTTACACTTCAAAAGAAAATCATGAACATAATGATAATCAAGGATGTCTTAAATAATGTGCACTACATACTTGTAACCTGCGGTTCAGTGTATTTTTTTTTACTTTTTTATTTGTGCATTTTAGGTTTTATCCCTATATCCAGATGTTAAGCTAGGATCATCGATACAAAAACCACACGGACAATATTTGAATAATTTTGAAAAAAGGTTGTGGCATCTTAAAAAAACAACAACAAAGCGAGAAACATAAAATCCCCGTGGCATCGACACTCGATGATTCAGCCTGGTGTCAAAAGCTCTTAAAACGGAACTACACAGAGCAGCTATTGTTTCTGACGTACCCTTATTGTAGAACTCAACCAACTTGAGCAGTTTATGAAATATACTTTTAAAGAAAATTATGCAAAAACGTGATACAATAAAAATATAATTGTATTATTTCCTTACTTTGTCCACAATATAATTCTTAACAAATGCTATGCTATTGTGCACATGCTAACTCCACTTGACAGATCGCTGTACATGGATGAATTAGCTGTACCTGTGCGATGCCTGCGCCCATCTGTCCGCCTCCAATAATCGTCACATGCTTGATCAGAACATTTCTCACACATGCTGTGGAAAATCCTCTGCAAATCTGCGTGAAGAAAGAGGCCATGGTGCAGAGGGAGCAGGGAACAGATCCACAGAGCCACGGGAAGACACAGGACCAGACCACGTGACTGTGCGACCTTTCACACACCTCAAAACTACTGTCTCTAAAGGAGAATAAACCTCATACTGTGCAAACAAACAACTACACAATTTAATGATTATTGTACCAACAATTTAAGCCCGCATTACGTATCAATCTACAGAAGTATACTTGTAAAAAAGTACTGTATATATTAATTATTTGTGTGAACTAGACTGAGGTTTACACCTTGTATGCGTTTATCATACTTTGTTTGATAAAAAATTAACAAACTTATCTTGGTCTCATTCCACTATGGGGTGCCGTTTGTAAAAATTCTGTTAAAATTTTTTAGCTGAACATTTTTCTACATTTAGCTCACTTTCCTCACATTTAGCACATTTTCCTCACATTTAAGACATATCTATATCTAAATATTATATCTATATCTAAATGTTAAATGTTATATCTAAATATTATATCTATATCTAAATGTTATATCTATATCTAAATGTTAAATCTAAATGTTAAATCTAAATGTTAAATCTAAATGTTAAATCTAAATGTTAAATCTAAATGTTAAATCTAAATGTTAAATCTAAATGTTATATCTATATCTAAATGTTATATCTATATCTAAATGTTAAATGTTATATCTAAATATTATATCTATATCTAAATGTTATATCTATATCTAAATGTTAAATCTAAATGTTAAATCTAAATGTTAAATCTAAATGTTAAATCTAAATGTTAAATCTAAATGTGTCGCCAAGTGTAAAGCTAAATATATAGAAACCACGCCCACTGCAGTGGCTTCAAATCCAGTGGGCCCGCCTTCCGTGCCGTGTGGTGAGAACCCTACAGGATTACACAGGAATCTCACGGGACTCCACGTGGCTTAGTTTACAGTGAATACACTCTGGCTCCAGCAAATAAGCAAGAATCTTCACAAAAATGCTAATTTTGTGCCGTGGCCAAGGACGATGGCGCCGGAGACCCAACATGCCTTGAGCCGTGACGTCGGTCCACGTGTATTCCTATGTTCAAAACACGCGGCACCGCCCCCACTCACCACACGGCACGGAAGGCGGGCCCACTGGATTTGAAGCCACTGCAGTGGGCGTGGTTTCTATATATTTAGCTTTACACTTGGCGACACATTTAGATTTAACATTTAGATTTAACATTTAGATTTAACATTTAGATATAGATATAACATTTAGATATAGATATAATATTTAGATATAACATTTAACATTTAGATATAGATATAACATTTAGATATAGATATAACATTTAGATTTAACATTTAGATTTAACATTTAGATTTAACATTTAGATTTAACATTTAGATATAGATATAACATTTAGATATAGATATAATATTTAGATATAACATTTAACATTTAGATATAGATATAATATTTAGATATAGATATGTCTTAAATGTGAGGAAAATGTGCTAAATGTGAGGAAAGTGAGCTAAATGTAGAAAAATGTTCAGCTAAAAAATTTTAACAGAATTTTTACAAACGGCACCCCATATTCCACGACAGTTGCTCAGTTGGTAGAACATTGGCATTTGAGCCTTCTAAGGGTCGTAGATTCGAGCCCACCACAAGCCCTACTTCACGACTCCCACTGATGTCTACTGTTGTTGTGTCCTTGGGCACTTAACCCCACTTTGCCTGAGGCCCCCGCTGAAAGATCAAGGCTCCTGTGGACTCACCACCTGCAGGAGGAAGTGAGGGGCTGGTGCTCTTACTGGGTGCAGCTCTGACTGCCACCCACCTCAACCCAGGAATAGATTAACGGGAAGAAAATGGATGGTTCCTTCTGTTTTATAACTTATGATGCAACATGCAATACTCACATTTCCCATTGTGGGATGAATAAGATATTTCATTTGAATCTGTTTTTCTGTGTACGGTTTTTGGGTCATTGTTAACAGCTATTGCTGAGATCAATGTACTTTATATTGAGGACTCTTATAAGTCTTTTTATAATAAATATAACTGCTGTCATTTTAAACATACAGCATTAAATGATGAAGCAAGAGCCATTAAAATGAAATCTATTATATATGAATAGATAAAACACTCACAAAAAAACGGAAACAAAATAATGTTTTCTCATTGTATGTTTATTGAACTTACAGAAACATGTAATTTTACTGCAAGCAGGCAAACCTGAGATACTTGTCCTGGAGGAGAGCCTCATGCTTAACATTAGCATGAATTGGAAATGAGATAGATTGCTATACTTTACTTTTCACGTATAGAGATCTGCTAAACTTACTATTCACCTAACATATTTTGTGTGTACTGAAATGTCCCCACTGTAGGACCACGGATCTCTTCATCTTAATTCCAGCTTTGTTAAATGGTCCCATATTCAGCGTTGACTCTGGGAACCAACAGGAGGTAGTATGATCTGGCGTGTGTGTGTGTGTGTGTGTGTGGTTGGAGAGGCAGATGCAGATTGGAAGCCTTGCAATACATTAACATTCCACACATCTCACAGGACTAATGTGAGAACTTCTGTTGTAAGTCAGGACTCACCATGCAGCATTTTGAAGCCAGAGCAGAGACCTGAGCATAGGACTAATGTCCATTGAGCAGGCCGTTACAATGAGGACATTTCAAGGATAATGATATTTAGAGCAGACAATATGCCTTTGATTCTGGCTATTTCTTAAATTACCAGTTATATACTCGTCTCCCAAAATCTTATTTTGCTCTTAAAGAGTTGGGCTACAGTTAATGCATCTTCCCAGAAGACAATACTTGTACGTACGCTAGCACTATCCTTCAGTTGTGAAATGTCTGTCCCACAAATGTTATCTTGAGCTCCGTGGATTAACACACGCAGTGAAAGGTGAAGGAGCCAGGGTCAGGCCGAAGCGTCCTTGCAGAGAGGGAGGAGCCAGTCCTTCCGGTAAACTAAATGTGAATGTCTGCAGTAAACTGGTCACCATCAGGAATAACTCCATCTTGGCCAGCTGCTCGCCCATGCACACTCTGCGACCTACAAGCAAAAAGAGTCAAAATGCTGGATTTTCCACTAACTTTTCCTAAAAAAATAGACTTTTACCAATCCCAAAAGGTATGAAGTACTCTTTCCTCAGCAGTTTTCCTTCTGAATCCAAGAAGCGTGCAGGATTGAAGCGATCAGGCTCATCCCATACTGTTGGATCTCTATGTACTGACCAAAGGTTGGGTATAATCACTGTGCCTTTGGGAATATTATACCCACAGAACTCTGAAAAATAACAGACCAGAATTAAAACAGGCCACATATTAGAAGCCATGTGTGTTTCTACTAACCTGTGTCCATGGAGGTCATGTGGGGAATAGCCAGAGGAACCACCACAGTGAGCCGCTGGACCTCCATGATCATGGCTTCAGTGAGAGGGAGACTGCCCTTATCAGTCATGGATGGGGAACGATGTCGGCCTATTGTGGCGTCAATCTCTTTCTGCACTTGTTCTACAAATGAGAAGCCAGATTGTAAGAAACCAATACTATTGTTCTTCCATCTCTTCAAGCTTATCAAGGATCAAAAGTATTTTATTTAATTAACATTTATTCAAACATTTCACTTAATGTAACAACATATTTCAACACTACGTGACCATTGAATATAAAAAAAAAAAGATTGTTTACAGCGAAGAGGTGAAAGAGGCGGTAGCGACCATTCTCCTCAGCACTTTTTTTAAGAGGCAAAAACAACTTTTCTAACGAGCAGGACACGTTCCAGCTTTGACTGTGATCTTACATGCACTTTTCCAACACTTTTGAAAGTGCGTGGAAAGAACAGCATCAAATCCTTATTTATATACCGCCTTTCACAGACCAGAGTCACAAAGCGGTTTACAATTGTTATTTTATTGGCCTTTTCGCCCTCTCACTCCACACAGAGATGAGAGCGGGGCCAGTACAGGAGGCGCATGCCAGAACTATTGTACATGTTTTTAGTGGTAGGGGAAACCGGAGCACCCGGAGGAAACCTACTGGTGTTCCATCTTAAGGCACTTACGTTTCAGCCTCCAAACTCGCATTGGATCGATAAGTGACCAAACGATAAAGAGCTAGATCAAACAACGTGCACTGGTTTGGTCTAATACAGGCAAGGCTAAGTTTTCCTCCTGAGGGCCGCATTGGAATACCAGCCTGCTGTTGGGGGCCAGACCTAATTTCCCATGTTTTTCTCAGGCTTCATTTTTGTACACATAAATATAATATACATTTATAGAATCATAAATCATAAATTGCAGCAGAGCGAGGAGCCCGACTGTGGCTCCAGAGCTCTGCAGGCAGCACACAAGAATGTTTTAGTTTTTATACTAGATATACAAAAACTGGGGAGGGCTCAAGGGCCTGATAGAAACATCCAAAGGGCCGCATCTCACCCACAGGCCGGGGTTTTACCCAGCCTGGTCTAATAATTTCATTATTATAAGTTTGTGTGCCTCTTTACTAAGTTGTGGTAAAAATAATTCCTGTCAAAACCACCTTGGCTTGAACTAGGTTTGTCACAATCCTCTCTTCTCACTCCAAAGGACAGCATTTAGTTTTTGTTACAGCCCAACAAAATTGCCATTGTAATTTAGCATTCATCCTTCCATAGCCTTTAAGAGGATGCATCTTACCTTGTATGTTAGGGTATAAGACCATGTACAACAGAATCCACAGGACTGAATTAGTGGTGGTGTCGGTGCCAGCAATGAAAAGATCTCCTATTATATAAAAGAGGTAATCCTCCGTGAAGCTGGTGTCGGGCTCTCCGGCGGCTTGCTGGGCCAACATCTCCAGCAGGTACATGTCAACCAGATCGCGGGGGTTGCCTGGATCCAGCGATTTCCTGTGCGTTTGGATAATCCTCTTCAGGAACACTGTGATGTCTCTCTCCACTTGCCGTAACTCCCGGAAAACACCAAACGGCAAATAGTAGAGCAGGGGGAAGACGTTGATGAGCACCGCTGGGCTGTTGACACAAATCTCCAGCCCGCGGGACATCAGGTTGAGTAATGTGCGGAACTCCTGGTCGTCGTGGTGGAAGCGTTGACCTAAAGCCATGGAGCAAATGACGTTAGATACGGCTGTGCTTATAAGAGGAGCCAGGTCTACACCACCAGCTCCACGCTCTTGCAGCAACTGGGACTTGATAGTGTCCAGGCCTTGCAAGATGCACGGCTCCAAACTCAACTTCCCAAGGCCAAAGTTTCTCAGCGTAGTGTGGCAAAATTTACGCTGCTTTCTCCACACAGGTCCGTAAGGGGCGAAAACAATGCCTGGTGAAGGAAGGACACAAGGATGAGATTCAGGATTTGTTATCTTTGTATGTAAATAGACCTGCTGTAAAATATGTCTTTTATAACTTCATTTATGTACTTTTTATCATTATTCATCTAATTAGCTATGGATCCTCCTGAGCGTATGAGTCCTTAATAAATTCTAAATAAAAAAACGAAATTCATTATCCAAACATATGAAAACGTATTGTATAAGAAGCCTTTTTAATTGAAAGTTATTTTGTTTAAGATAGGTGAAATTTCCCGATCACTATAACTGTCATTGAGCTCATGATTTGATCTTCCTGGTGTAAAATATGCCACCTGTTTGCTGCTTACAACTTTGTAATGGACGTTACCTGGAATGTGGAATAAGCTTCAAAATCGTAAAATCAAGATCAGGATAACGTGAATGTTAGATCACAAAGAACAATATGTTTCCAGAAAAGTCACATATCAGCATCTGTATGAATGTACATAACTTTTATCAGCAGTTTGAAGTTCCCTTTAAACCAAGAACATTTTAAGAGCATTTATTTGAAAATTGAAGCAGCAATGAAGATACGATTGTACTGCTTTTATTGAGATTGTGGAATGAATAATCTGAGAAGCATCATGATGCTGGAGACCTCTGGGAACACCAGAGTCCTTAGACCAGAGTCCTTAGACCAGAGTCCTTAGACCAGAGTCCTTAGACCAGAGTCCTTAGACCAGAGTCCTTAGGCCAGAGTCCTTAGACCAGAGTCCTTAGACCAGAGTCCTTAGGCCAGAGTCCTTAGACCAGAGTCCTTAGACCAGAGTCCTTAGACCAGAGTCCTTAGACCAGAGTCCTTAGACCAGAGCCCTTAGACCAGAGTCCTTAGGCCAGAGTCCTTAGACCAGAGTCCTTAGACCAGAGTCCTTAGGCCAGAGTCCTTAGACCAGAGTCCTTAGACCAGAGTCCTTAGACCAGAGTCCTTAGACCAGAGTCCTTAGACCAGAGTCCTTAGGCAAGACACTTCACCCACATTATTCTGGTGCGTGTGTGTGAGTTAATGATTAGTGGTGGTACAATTAGCCTTGCTTCTGTCAATCTGCCTCAAGGCATCTGTGGCTATAGCAGTAGTACACAGTGAATTAATAATTCCATGTTTGAATGTCCGGAAAATTGCTTTATAAAACCAATGCATTAGTGTTTTAGTGTTGTTGTTGTTTTCATTATCATTATAACATTTTCTATTATCTCGCCTTCAGTTGAACACTGACCCTAAAACTTAACTTTAGTCAAATTAAGCAAATATTATCTTCTTTAGACCATTGACAGTTGCAGATCTGTCTGTTTTGTTATATAAATGTTTCCAAAAAGAGGAAATAGGAACAAACAAAATAATGACTAAGAATTTATGGAAAACCACAATGTATTTGGGTTTTATAAAAAGTGAACTCATGTGACTCATGTGTGGGTTTTTATAAAAAGTGAACTCAGTGAACTCAATGGATAACAGTCCATTTCCAAAATATAATATTTTTCTAAGATGTTTATTTTGATTTTTTTTAACAAATAGTGAGCCATAATTAGGGCTGTAACAAATTAATTGAGGAAGTGCAACTAATTAATAATTTAAGTAGTTGTCATCTCATTCATTTATCGATTAATCCTTATTTAACCTGTAAAATGCAGAGATTATTACAGCCAAGGGCGTCCCCATGGTCTCTGGGGACCATGGGGACATGTCCCCACCAATATATGGTGAGGACTAAAAAGTCCCCACCAAAATGACATGATGTCCCGTGACCCGGACGGTCCGGGACACATGTCTTCCGTTTGTGCACACGTCGCGCCTCCTCCTCGCCTCCAGAGCAACAGCAGCAGCAGCAGCACGTGACCCGTTCCGTTCTCTGCAGTGATTGGCTGTCTTCTTCAGCGCCAAACTGAAGCACTGAGCAACTGTTTAATTTTTAAAAGTTAGCCAGCGTGAAGTGTTTTTTTTTTATTCCCTGAGCGTTGTAGCACGTGAGTAATCAGAGGAAAGTACTGTAGATCTATTACCATTCAAAGTACTTACGTTATTTCTAATCTGTCAGCGCACTGTTTAATGTTCCGAGGAGCTCACACGGCACAGAGACAGAACAGAACTGGCTCCAATAAAGAAACAGGTTGGTTGAAAGGCTGAAAAAATACTTATTGTGCTCTTACTATCCAAAATGTATAAGTGGGTGTGTTGTGTGAATCAGGATAAACTAGTGATGAAAATATTCCACGGATCCACGATTTACAACCTTTATCTGCTGATAATGTAATTTCTGTGAAATGTGTGACAGCGGGCACTTGCTGTTATTTGCTATAAGCACATTCAAGCGATGCACTCGAATGTGCACGTCCTGGTGCAGCTGCTGCCGCTTTGTAATGACAGCCGCGGCGCTCAGTGAAAGCACAGCTCTAACATGGTACCGAGCTCGGACCATATGCAGACAGAACCATGTTGCAAGTGCGGGTCTCCCTCGTATCTCCCCCGTTTCTCCCCTGTGTCTCTGACATGTCTCTCCCCTGACTCTTCCCAAAGCGCAACCAGCGCTCCCGAAATTAAAGCTCGGATACGTACATTTTCCATTGCGTTAACGATGCATGCTGGTTGTGCGCAAAACACACCACAACAGGTCATTTAAGTTTTTATTTTGCATACTTGAGAGCCTTGTGAGTCATTACTTGCCTTTTTGGGTTGAGAGTGGAATAAAAAAAAGAAAATATAGACAAATCCACACTGTTACTTATTGCCAAACTCTTGTTAACTCATTGTATTGAGAAATACTATGTAACTTTTGACATTGGCCAAGTTATATAAATGATTCTGCAGTTCATGTATATGAATGTCTGTTTTTGATTGTCTATACCTTCTTATATAATTTAGAAAAAATGCCACCTCCACAAAAAAAGATAAAAGATATCAGGAGCTTTTTTAACAGTTGGAAAGTAAGTAAGAGAAAGCACAAGTAATAGCAAATTATGAATTGTGATGATTAATCTTCTGTTAACATACATAGGAAACTCAACCAACAAGAGAGAACAATATAGGGAATGTTGAGGTAGAAGCAACAGGCCCTTCAGTGCATCAGGTGAGGTTGGAATTTTGTAGGTATGCATGGGACTATGAATTGTTTTTAGAGATTGATTGTATATGTCAAACAATGTAGTGAGATACTCACTGTAGATTCTAATTCAATATTTTCTCCTCTGTTTTTATTTATTATAGGAAATTGAAAGATCAGAGCATGATTTATTTCAAGTATCGAGAGCAGTTCCTGAACTGTTAGAGCCTCAGGTGAGGGCTATTATGTAGATTTGGATTAGGTTTAAGTCAGTATAGAATGAACGCAACACAAAACTCAGAAGAAGGGTGTAGACTCAGGTCGTAGTGAATGTCCCCACCAAGATTGGAACCAAACCTACACCATTGATTACAGCCCTAGGTATAAGTATCAACATCCTAACAAATATTTGCTTGACATATCTCACTTTGCGTGTAATGATACTGTTATATATGAGTTTTACATTGTAAGTTTAATTACAGTCAGTAAAAGGACTTTTGAACAATAATCAACAGTCAGATTAGCTTGTTCAGACAGAAAAGTTCACACTACTGTCTTGTTATATTGGAGGTATATAAGAAGATGTTCTCCTTCCGGGTGGATCATCAAGACGATTGGTCCTCCCAATTGTCAATCATTCTGGTGATACGTGCTCGTCAAATAAGAAGAGAGTTTTTTGTTCAAAAAGTGGAGAGGGCGGCTCTTTCCTAAGAATATTGGGAAATCCTCCTTCATATCTTTAAGAAGAAATGTAATTGAAGACTAGTAAAAAACATAACGTAACTATACTAACTTTTACTAACTACATTTTATGGTTGTTTCTTGAGAAAATTAGTAATGGATAACATGGCATTGTCGCCTATACCATCAATGCTGCTATTTAATATATTAGTTTAAAATCATCTCAGGGGCCACTGGAAATGGTCTCGCGGGCCGGATCTGGCCCCCGGGCCTTGACTTTGACACCTATGATTAAAGGAATGATATGAAAAGCCCGTTATTATGCGACAGCACTTCTTTGCCTCACCTTTGCGTTTGGTCATGATGGCGATCGCCGGGATGTCTGGTCTGTCCGAGAACACTTCTGGATGGTTTGACAGCGCGTCTCTGACCACTTTGTACCCGTTCAGCACGACCATGAGAGTGGGACCCGCAAACAGACTGAACACGTCTCCGTAGACTTTGGACAGCGCGGTCATAGAAGCCACGGCGTCCCCTGACTGCTGCTGCTGCTGCTGCTGCTGCTGCTGTAAAAGCCCCCTGAGGAAAGGAGGAATCAAGAAGTGCCCAAAGTTTCCCACTACAGGCCAGGGTTTGGGGCCTGGGGGGATATTTGCGAATCGTTTTTGACGCTTGCGATGCGTGGAAACAACATAGAAAAGTAGCGCAAAGACGGACAAAGATGCTATTACATGAGAGAGCGGAAACGCATGCTCGCCTGACAGCAAATCCATTGTGATGCTAACGCTGCTAGCGACTTGTGCTGGAAAGCAAATCTACCCCATTTAACAGAGACAGAGTACAAAGACAACGCTAAAACTTGATTAAAAGGCTATAAAACGGAGAAGAGTTCAGCCCATGACCTCCCCGTGTTGTGGTGAAACAGCTGACATGCTGTTATGGCTTGTGACTGGCGGACACTCTTGTTATGGTCTAAGAGGATTGGAGCAATGCACCAGTGACGACAGCGCGCACATATACAGTCTATGATATATACATTTGTATTTTTGTATTTTTACATATGCAAATGTATAAATAAACCACGAGAACTGCACACGCTACTACTTTACTTTGCACTATAAGCTCCTGCATTGATAAATAAACTTACTTTCAAACGATTAGATCTTCTTATTCTTAAATGATCACAGTATAGAGAAAGTATGCACTCATATCAATGAGGTATTTTAACCAAATCATTATTTGAATATGCGAATGGATATTATTTATTTAATATGTTTTTAGGAACAAAAAGAATTCAGCTGCTTGAGTAGACTGGATTTCATATTTGTTTTAATTATATGATTTATTGGGTACATATAAACATTGTAGTTGTTTTCTCAAGAAAAATATAGCTTTAAGAAGATGCAAAACCTTTTTTTTAGTCCAAAGTCTCAGTGGGGGCCACGTTGAAACTAAAATTTTATGTCCACTAGGGGGCATGCGGCAAACAGCCCGTGGCCCTACATTTTTGAGACCCCTGCTATAGATTCTATATAATATTTACAGTCTATATGTATAGGAGTCAATATTTACTCTATGAATGAGATCAAGGCTGTGTGCAACATTCCTTGTCCTTCCACTTTTGTAACAACTTTATTTAATTTAAAACCCAACTATACAGTGGTACAAAGCAGTGAAACAATATGGGAACAAACAATAACATTACAAATTTAAATATGTCATGGTTGATGTTTGTTTGTAGTTTTTTCTCCGGGTGAGTTAGACTGTGTTCTTTATGGCAAGAATGTGTTAAGTCCTCAAGTTTGACTCGATTCCCGATAGCAACATTGTACACAAATGTTTAATTTTTTCACAATAATCTAAATCTATGTATGTTGTTCTAAGTTATTCTTGTCTTTAATGTATTTCCATATATTGAGGAGGGTTCTTAAACATGTTCTGATAACTACAGATAAAGATAATTCTTTAATGGACTTAAATCAAGCATTTTAGATAAATGACATGATGTTCATAGTGAACAATGGACCTGTCACACTTACAGATGTAATGCACATGTGAATAGCTTACACAATAATAGTCAAATCAAATAAAACAACACATAATTATATATAAAAAGAAGAATGATATAAAAGTAAAAAATCGCAAAATATAATGATTTGCTTATTTTTGACAACACACAAAGGCACCTTGTGACATAACTACATCATATTTAAGTAACCCTTGTCAGCCAGTCCAACATGAGAAATCACTTCAGCAAATGTCAATCATATCTTTCCAAAATACAGCCGTTTTCAATTTGCTACAAACTTTTCACAAGGAAGAAAAGCGGAATATGCTCTGTGGTAATGTCGGAAATGGTTAGAGTACTGGCTGGGACTGGGATGCTGATGCTGAGACTGGGTCACTCTTCTCTAAAGGTCTGCACCATGGAGTACTTCTTACAGGGGCTCTTGAGGCAGGCGGGGGGCCAGGTGCAGGGCCAGCTGTAGGAGCATGGCACCGCACTCTGGACATTCCTCTCCATGAAGTTGAAAGCAGGATTCCACCAGGTGTTTTGGAGGTAGTTGTTTGGGAAGCATTTCAGAGTCTGTGAAAACAATACATTCATTGTTAGTTGTAGAAAACTGACAAGTAGGGCTAGCAAACTGGAGAAATGAGCCATCATGATTTTCTTTTCTTTGTCATAGTGTGAATGTGTGTGTGTGTGCACGTATTGTACCTCATATGTACCGTGTTTTTTTTTACTGTTGTCTGTTGAATTGTTTTTTAACGACACTTCTATCTGCTTCATCCAACTTTTATGTACAAATGAATGCTATTTGTCCCAGGGATTTGTTTTGTACATTATCTGAAATATAAAATTTTGTTCTGTTTTTATTTTATCATAATTTTATACTGTACAATTGGGGATGCATAATTAGATAACATTGTGAAAGGCAAATTAAGAGACATTTTGCTTTAGTCCCACTAGAAAGACCCACACGCAATTTAACAATACATCAGATTCAATTTTATTCCACAAAGGTCAACAAAAGGGATGGATGGACGGACGAGGAATGGAGAAACTGTCATCAAATCGGATGCAGATTTCAGAGCTAATCCTAGTTCTGAATCTGTGATGAGTAGATTTTCTGTTTGAGGAAGTGGGAACAAAGGTCCTTCTGCTTTCACAAGTCGAGAGTCTGGCTGGTCAGGCTTCTAGTTCCAGGAATATGTCTTTTCAAAACAGTGAATTTTGGAGAAAGAATTTTGATAATTGATATTGAAAATAGTTTTGAAAAATAGTTGAGATTGTAATTTTTTTATCTTTACATTTTCAGCACACTTTTTCTATTTGGCCTAATGCTGCACTTACGCATCACGCTGAGCAGACTTCTCCATGTGGCAAACAATCAGCCAGGTGCCAACGCATTTGTGCTGTATGAGTGACTGAGACTACAGGAGTTCTACTTGGCTGTGGTTTCAGTTTCACCAGCTGTAGTGTTCTGGAGGTACCTGGATGACCACCTGTTTCAGACCACTGCAGCACTTGACTCTCATATCTCTGCATTAGACCAGCCTCTGACCCCTCCCATGTCCTCCACTCAGCCTGGTCTCCTGTCACAGTGGCTCCAACTGAAATATGCTCCTTTAATTCTGTTGTGACTGTGACTCGAGTCCACAATGTTCCCCAGTGAAACCATAAACTATATCAATTACATTTGTGATTGTATTATGAGGCCAGCAGACGGTGCCAGGTCTTACTTTTACCTTCTGTCACACAAATCCATTGCTCCCTGCACTATGAACTCAGAGAAAACCTACGAGTGTATTTTGGAACTCTAAAATATGTGAAATGAGTGTACAATAATTGGGAGTGGCTAATAATGCTAAATCCATTGTAGTGTTGTCATGGATCACTTCATTATGCCATAAAGGTTGTTGTTCAACTTATTTGACCAAACCCCGCACCCATCTCTGTGTGGAGTGAGAGACAAATGCCCAAAACTAATAATTGTAAACCTCTTTGTGACTCTGGTCTGTGAAAGGCGGTATATAAATAAAGATTACTTACTTACCTACAAACTTATTGTTGTTTTGTTTGAAATGATTAGATAGAAAAGACTATTGTTATTGCGAATAAGAAAGGAAAGAATCTCATCACATAAAGAGTGTAGCAAATATTTAACAATGAAAACAGCAGCCTGGGTGAAATACATACAAATATTCTGCTGCTATTCTGAGCGCAACGCTCTATTTTTTATTTTGGGCCTTTGGTGGAGTTTGCATGCTTCGGTGTCCTCCAGGTGCTCTGGTTTCCCCCATCTCTAAAAACACTAACCCGCAGGAGAGTCTAACTACAGGGAGTGATCCGGTGTTCTGTCGAGACGGCCCCCCCCCGTCGAAACATATTATCTAGTGCATCTGCGCATGCATCGAAGTAGGTTTACCGAGCCATCGGATTTAGAATCTCCAGCTTCACGTGAGTAGTTTTATTTACGATAAACAAGATTACACTCGTGTATTTTGTGCTGAACACTATGGCACTAGGCATTACAGTGATGTAGTACTAGTTCAAATTCACCTGAAGATGTGGACAATAATGTAAATAAATATACGTCTTAAGTCGGCGTCTAGACTTCTGCATTAGCAACTATTGCACAATTGTGCAGTAAGATAATAAGAATGTAGTATGCACGTATATAATATAACATTCTAAGCTTTTTAAGCTTTTCCTTTTTAAAAGCTCAAAATACTGGCTCATAAAGTGGTGATAACGTGTTCTCTTTCGGCGGGTGGGGAGGCAAATTTCGACAAGGAGTGCGCGCCATGTATTCAGTACATTAAACTAATATGCTACCTTTTATTAAATCCAATAAATCATAAATATGTTGACATGTTTATTAAGCAAACATTCATAATGACTAAGCTATGGAAAGTTGCTTTCGGCGGGTGGGGATGCACATTTCAACAAAGGGTGCAAACCTCGAAAGGGTGCACTTCTCGACAGAACACTGGGACACTGTTATCCTATGGCCCAAGGACTCTAAAATGGTTGACTGTTGTATTTGCTTATGTGTTCTCAATGGTTTTAATTTCTAATTTGCTGTTGGCAATCAACAATATTGTTATGACCCTCAAGACGACTGCTGCTCGATTTTGATTTCATTTCATAGTGGGCAGTGGAACGTTACGACACCCGTGATCCCCAGCAGTAGAACCACTTCCTCAACAACATCATTCTCAGGCCAAAGCAAAGACATTAATGAATGCACCAACATCATTCTGCATTTAACAGCAGCAGTGAAAATGGAAACTGAAACTACAGCTTTGCATGGTTCCGTTTGGACAAAGGAGTAGAATCCTCCTCTGTGTAGCACTCGAAGCACACGTAGCTTGTAAGTGTACCCGCCATCATTGTTGTTTACGTTGTTCTCGGCGACTGTGCATGTCCAAGTGTACGTGCGAGGAGGTGGTGAGGTCATAGCAGGCAGGGAATTCATTCCTTTTTCTTCACGTGGCTGTGAATCAGCCCCCCATAATGCAGCTTATCTGTTCTGTTCCACCCAAGAGGATGTTTCTCAACGCATGCGTTCTCACCCCCCTAAAACACAGCCTCCATGTAAACGGGAGTCCAAACTGATACCCATTTTACTGTTGCAGCGTTTCTGTGTAAACACCACCTTAGATGAGTTTTGAGAATGGATTTGAAGCGAGTGAGTGAGTCAGTGTTCCAAAGGTTAGGGGGAGAGTGTTCCAGAGCTGGGGAGCAGAGCGGCTGAAGGCTCTACTCCCCATGATGATGGGGTGTGGCGGGCAGGAGAAGAGAAAGCAGGAGGGATAGTGAGCTGGAGAGAGGATGAGGAGCAGAGTGAGTAGGAAGGTGTGGAAATCTGGAGGAGCTCAGTCAGGTATGGAGGAGCGAGTTTGTGAATGGCTTTAAATGTGAGGAGCAGGATTTGATATTGGATGCGGTGAGTGATGGGGAGCCGGTGCCACTGTTGGAGGACAGGGGGGATGTGGTTGATGGAGGGGGTATGTGTGATGATGCGAGCGGCTGTGTTTTGGACCAGTCCAAATCACCTGACTGTAAACTTGCACACCCCTTGAGCTAGCGTGGAGCAGCAGACAAACCTGTAAGCTGGTCATGGTGTGGTACCACCAGAAGAGGCGCGAGGTGATGAAGTAGGCCACCACCACATCCACGCTGTAGTGCTCATGAGCCACCAGGATACACAGCACGCCCACAGCACTGAGCAGCCAGCACACCACATGGTACCACCAGAAGGAGCGTGGGGAGTCTGCACAAACAACACAGGATGCACAAGGGTCACAAGGGGGTGCCTTCAGAGCTTTGTGAGGAATGTAAGCTGCTGTACGTACACTCTTTAATGAACAGGTAAGTCAGCGTGAGCATAACCGTGTGGCCGCTGTATAAGAAGTCTCCACACATAAGATGGGAGCCGGTAATGGACAGTCCTCCTCCAGATATGAGGCGCAGGACCCGCAGGAGCTTGGCGTGGGAGTCTCCGTGCAGCTGATGGCAAAGGAGAACACGGATACAATTAGAGATGTATAATTCGGGTATATCCTTCTGTTTATCTTTGAATTGTCCCCAAATGGCGGATACCCTGGCATGATGTTGTTTGGTGATCCATTCATGCTAATGTCAGTAACTTCTGCCCTTTTCTGGCTAAAAACTCCTGTCTCAGTCCTGTAATAGTATAGAGCTGCCTTTTATAAAGTATTGCCCCTAAAATAGTTTTGGCATGTTTCTCAAGTCAAATTACGTTCTCAACAATCCCAAGGCTGAGTTTAGAGCCGTTGATTTTCTAATTTGGATAAAACCAAAAACAATTCTCCACTTTCCTCTGGTGGTAGCATAGGGATAGGGCAGGGGTATTGCTTTTTATACCCTTCATACTTGTTTCTCAATATAATATCTCAAATATATTACTTCACACATTCAAAAACATTAAATTATAAAGTAATAGTACTAATATGTCTGTTTTGACCTTGACTATAGTCCGGGTAATAATACCAAGACTATAGTACCCATAGTAAACCTATGCAGACACGGGGTGAACATGCAAACTCCACACAGAAATGTAAACTTCATATTGCTCTGTCATGTTGGAGGAAATGTATCAATATTGTTGGACCTAATTAAATCCAACACTTAATTTCTTAGTGTATAATCATATAAAAAAATTTATGACAAAAGTTATTTTATTTCATCTTCATCTTGAAAGCTCTCGACAACACTAGTTGTAAGGAGGTTTTAACCACTTAGTCACTTATCAATAAAACAATAGCAATTGGTCTTATAGTACGCATACATTTTTTTAAAATTAGTTCCCCCCTCTAAAATGTTTGGTTGTTTGTTAGTTTAGTTCTATTTCTAGTTTTAACATTCAGGTATGTTTGTCACATTTTTATATCATCAGCTTTTTCAGACAGAAAAGTGAAAAAGAGAGGATTACCATCGCTCAATCACCACCCAGCCCAAAGCATCAATAAGTGACTCACAGGGCTCTTTCACAAAAGTACGCAAAAGATAACATGATTCATAAGAAGATGGAGGCAGCCTGTGATCTGAATTGCTCACAACAAAACACTTCTATAGGGACAAAGAACAAGTCAGGTACCCCAGCTTTAAAGGAGAAGGAGATGTTATACGCTGCTGCTTGTGTTTTTTTTTTTGGTTCTTTTGCTTTCAAAGCAGCTGTGGTGTGAAGCATTTAATCTCCATAAAATCTCCCTCCTGCATACGTCATGCAATATTTTAGCCGGGACTAATCACCCAACTTGCACAGAACACCTCCTCGGGGAGGAGTCCAGGAGGCATCTGGAACACAATGGTCTGGCAACGGATTAACGGCGTACGCTCACTGCACCAATCCGCCTGTCAATCTCACGCTCCATCCTTCCCTCACTCGTGAATGAGACCCAGAGATGCTCGATCTCCTCCACTTGTGGCGGGACCTATCCAACCACCTAGAAAGGGCAAGGCACCTTTTTCCGGTTGAGCACCATGGCCTCAGATTTGGAGGTGCTGATTCTCATCCCAGCCGCTTCACACTCGGCTGCAAACCGTCCCAGTGCATGTTGCAGGTCCTGGTTCGTTGGAGCCAACAGGACAACATCGTCTGCAAACAGCAGAGATGAAATCCTGTGGTCCCCGAACCGGACCCCCTCCGACCCCTGGCTGCGCCTAGAAATTCTGTCCATAAACACAGTGAACAGAACCGGTGACAAAGGGCAGCCTTGGTGGAGGCCAACATGCACCGGGAACAGGTCCGACTTACTGCCGGCATTGCAAACACAGCTCTGGCTCCGGTCATACAGGGACCGGACGGCCCTCAGCAGAGGACCCCAGACCTAACCCCCAAACGACGCCCCGAGGAACACGGTCAAACGCCTTCTCCAAATCCACAAAGCACATGTGGACAGGTTGGGCGAACTCCCATGAACCCTCGAGTATCCGATGGAGAGTATAGAGCTGGTCCAGTGTTCTACGGTCGGGACGAAAACCACACTACTCCTCCTGAATTGACCATCGGCCGTAGTCTCCTCTTGAGTACCTTGGAGTAGACCTTACCGGGGAGGCTGAGGAGTGTGATGCCACAATAATTGAAACACACCCTCCGCTCCCCCTTCTTGTAGAGAGGGACCACCACCAAGGAGGCTGCCAACCACCTTGGTGACCTCAGCCAGGGAGATGGAAGTATTCGCCCCAACATCCTCAGTCGTGACTTTTTATGACTTTTTAGGTTCTTCTAATAAGACAATTAAAGCAAAAACAAAGCTAGTGCTGCTTAATTACCTGACATGTTTCGGCGGTACACTTCCGCCTTCATCAGAGGTGACACGTGATGGTGTGACGCGTCTCTTATCAGCTGTTGTTGCCGGAAGCAGTCAGTCTGACAGATCTCACAGATCACCAGCAGTCAGACTGACTGCTTCCGGCAACAACAGCTGATAAGAGACGCGTCACACCATCACGTGTCACCTCTGATGAAGGCGGAAGTGTACCGCCGAAACATGTCAGGTAATTAAGCAGCACTAGCTTTGTTTTTGCTTTAATTGTCTTATTAGAAGAACCTAAAAAGTCATAAACATAAGAAGACAAAATGAATTTTCTACATTTAATCCTCAGTCGTGACGGGGAATTGAGGAGAACCTCAAAGCATTCCTCCCACTGTTTTTTGCCTCGGCAACAGCCCGGGCTGCGGCACGCTTGGCCTGACCGGTACTGGACAGCTGCCTCAGGAGTCCCACAAACCATCATGGTTCGATAGGAGTCCTTCTTCAGCCTGACGGCATCCTATCAGTGTCCACCACCGGGTTCGGGGGTTGCCGCCAGGACCAGCACCAGAGACCTTGCGACCAAGGTGGAGAACATGGTCCACTCAGACTCAATGTCCTCTTCCTCCCCCGGGACCTGGGAAAAGCTCTCCCAGAGGTTTGTTGAGAGTCCGTCTGACGCTTGGGTCTGCCAGGTCTGACCGGCTTCCTCCCCTGCCAGCGGATCCAACTCACGACCAGGTGGTGTTCGGTTGACAGCTCCGCCCCTCTCTTCACCCGAGTGTCCGAGACATGCGGCTGAAGGTCAGATGATGCAACAACAAAGTCGATCATTGACCTACGGCCTAGGGTGTCCTGGTGCCGAGTGCACTGGTGGACACCCTTGTGCTCAAACCTGGTGTTTGTGATGGAACAAACTGTGACTAGCACAGAAGTCCAATAACTGAACACCACTCGGGTTCAGATCAGGGGGGAGCATTCAAACCGGTGCTTGCCTTAGAAAAAAATGTCTCTCTCTACAAATCCAAAAGTAACTGACATTCACTTTAAAACCAGTCAGTCCAAAGAGGGAGCAATGCCACCAGTGCAACTGAGGAGCTCACCTTGGGGGCGCAGGAGAAGTGGATGCCAGGGACAGGCAGGGTGGTGATATACATGGTCACACAGCGGTACAAGTACAGCGTGCCCATCAGGAAGAAGAAACGCCTCAGTGCTATCGACCTGGAAATAGACGGATCAGACGCAGATAAAGCCAAGCACATCCATACAGCAATGAGCCTCGTGTTTAATGCATCTAATTCTTCAATGTTCAATACCTGTATCCAAATTATGAGAACTAAGGCCTATATAGAGATGAGGTCTATGTATGTATTTTGATTTTGTTAGAACTCCCCCTGGGGTGAAGGAACAGATTCAGACACAGCTTGAACTACAGCTGCTGATCTCCAGAGCAGATGACATAGCACACTGGCTTAAGTCTGTTTATGTGAAAAGCAGAGAGAGAAGTGCAGGGTAATACACAGGACTTGTTTTTATGTGTATAGGCCTGTTGTCAGAGCAGAGTTTATGGACTTATTATTTTGACTCCATTACCAGAGTGTTTTGTGTGTTTTAACACCTCATCATTAAATCATGTCATGTCTAGTTAAAACAATTGCCTAATCAGAAGGAAACCTGTGGCTTATCTTCAAGAGCGGCCAATTTATGAGCCAAAATTGCTCTTTTAAAATTAGCTGGTGTGGTTTATATACAAATCTGCATACTCAACCAGCAAGCACGACATATAGATAGTTCAGATGATATGGCAGCACTGCCTGAGTATGCTTCTTGCCTGTATCTGAAGAAGAACAGCTGTATGATCCAAATGGCCAGCAGCACCATGCCATTAATCTCGGTGACAGTGAACGCCCAGTTAACCCGGTCGATGTAATCAAAGAACTTATCCGGAAGAGGTGGGCTGCTCTCTTTTGGTGGAACTCTCTCATGCACCACTGTGATGACAACCGTGGTTAGAACCAGGTTGAAACCGGCATAAAAGAAAGCAATGATTGTCTTCCACCACTCCATGGGCAGAGGATTGACTTTGGTCTCAGGGACTGGAATCTTCACGTAGTCGTTGTGTCTCCCTAAACCCTTACGAAAAGCCCTCTTTGGGTCATTTGTGCTTGGGTCGTGCACTGGGCAGGTTTTGCCGCTGGCTGCTGTGGTGGACTCTATTCCTGGTTTAATATTGCTGGCAGCAGTGGCCCTTGTGTCCCCATGTCCTTGTGTGGCCATGGCATCCACAGAGACAGGGATTGGGTGTGAAAAGTTGTCAGTCACTGTGGGAAGAAAAAAACAGTAATAAATAATGCATACTACTTATATAGCTCTCTTCGGGACACTCAAATACGCTTCATATGGCATTATTTATTCATACAAACAAAGTAAAAATATTGCTTAATATTTTGGAATAGATGGGCCGATCAATAAAGCGTAGTAAGCATGAAAATTAGTATCATTAGGTTTTCTCATTAGGGAGCAGAAATTAGATGGATTTGTCAAAAATGTTTACACAACACACACATATATATACTGTATATGTGTGTGTGTAAAATAAAGCTACATAAAATACATGATAATATAAAGATTGTCTACAATAAGATATATATCAAGAGATAAGATATATATATAGAGATAAATATCGAAATATATATCTTTTTGTGCGTGTATTCTTCTTCTAATACAGAATGTTTTTTTTCCCCAAAGTTTTTTAAAAATACATTTAAGAAAGAAATTATATCTTGAAAAGAGCTGCATGCATTTGTTGGTAAAACTTCCCCTGTACAGATAAGGATCACTCAGATGTCCACAGCCTCTCAGTAAGTGTCATTGTGGTCCCTCTGTATTGATGTGAAATGAAAATGGAAATAATGCAACGAGGAAACATGCTGGATCTGTTTTCAGCTAATGACTTGAAAGAGAATTATGCCATTTTCTGCTAGAACACTAAAAGGCTTCTTGTACCTAAAACTGCTCCATTAATGGCTGTCCGTATTTTCCAGTCAGTCCTAAAAGGTACCACAATAAATGTCTTCTGGGATACATCGAGAACGGCATGTTTACTTTGAGACGAACCAGGAGCTTTGAATAGCAGGATAGAAATAGAATTATGCTGGTGCAGAAATGGCCCAGTATTGTCTAATTCAATGTTGAGAGAATCTTATTTCATAACATATTCAGAGCCACCCACATCAACAACTGGCAGAGAGTGTCAAAGAATGTATGATTGATTTAATAGGGTACAAGTCATAAATACTGAAAACTATAGACATACAGTACAGAAATTAGGTAAGGCAAGGCAAGTTTATTTGTATAGCACAATTCATACACAAGGCAACTCAAAATGCTCTGAATTGGAGCCTCTCTGTGTTTTGTTCTGACTCTGGGCACTAGCAGGAGTCCAGTCCCCGTGATCATCGGAGTAGGTTTAAATGGCACTAACATGTCACTCACTGTATGTACTTTGGTGCAAGGCCATGGAGAGACTTGTGCACAAGCAGAGCTGCTTTAAAGTCTATTCTCTGAGCCAGAAAAAGCCAGTGCAGAGCCCAGAGATGCTTCCTGGTTTTAGTCAGGACTCGAGCTGCTGCATTTTGAATGTACTGCAGCTGTTTGTTCACAGGTCATCCCATTTGGAGAGACCTGTGAGCAGGCCATTGCAGTAGTCTAACCTACTGGAGACAAACGCATGGATAAGAATCTCCAAGTCTGCTTTAGACACATGTTTTGATCCTGAAAATGTTTTATAAGTGAGTAAAAGCTGCTGATGTTGATGTGGCTAGTACATTTTAAGCCTGAGTCCAGCATTACCCGTAGATTTTTGAACTGAGACTGTAGGTGACAGATGAGGCTCTCTCTTTGTTTCTGGGGACCAAAGACAATCATTTCAGTTTTGTCTGTGTTTAGCAGAAGGAAGTTATTTTGCATCTACTCGCTGATCTACTTGCTGATCTGTTGGATGCAGTGGATGAGCGAGTCCATGTTCTTCTGCAAACAGTGGGACATAAGTCTGAGTGTCGTCTGCGTAGTTGAGAGAGGAAACATTGTTTCTGCGTATTACCTGACCTAGGGACAGCATGTAGAGATTGAACAGAAGAGGTCCCAGGATCGAACTCTGTGGTACTCCACAGAGGTCTTTGAGTTGCCTTGTGTATGAACTGTGCTATAAAAATAAACATGCCTTTCCTATGCCTGGCTCTTATTTCTATGGAACCATAGAAATAATAACCATCAAATCTTTAGACTTGCTTTTTCAGGCATAAAAGTGACACAGGAGTGGCTAAAGACAGGATGCTCTGGAACATTTATCCATTTTCAAAATGACTAATCTGCAATTGGCAAATCAACACGTTTGTAAAGTCCTTCAAGAAGATTGCCGTTATTATTTTGGTGTACAAAATAATTTATATGATTGATTTGAATTGACTCAAACCACAGAGCCATGCAAAAAATAACATGTCTTCTAAGCCCTCAGTTGGTCAAAAAAAGCTGCTTTTACAAAAATCGCCAACTGTTGAAGGTTTTCAAATGTTCACACAGTTCAATTCAATTCAATTCCATTTATTTCTGTATAACCCTAAATCACATCAGCAATCATCTCGGAAGAATTTACAACGTTGACGTTTCCTCATGTATGCCTTGTCCAGTCTGGCAGAATGAGGGGTGGTTGAGACAAGATTGCATAGTCCAATACCATATCTAAAAACAGCTTCAAAATACACAAACAACCCATTCTTCAAAATAATATATTATATGCAATAAATGAGAAGCTGGCCGAGGCAAGTTCACTGCAGCCTTTTTCTGTGAGACTTTGTCCATTAGTCTTCATTTCTCAGTCCTGCCCTGTGCGTCCCTTGAGAACAGTTTTCCTTTTCCCACTATAGCCACAGCACCCAGCGCCCTGTGATGGAAAACGCCATAAAAAAAAGTTGGTCACAGGCCGTAATGGATAACTTGGCTGGCTCCACTCCCCTCTGCTATTTCAGGAGAAGCCACCCAGATGTGAGCCCTGTCTGACTCCAGGGGAACAGAGCTGAGTCCATTTTGAGCCTTTCATAATAACATGCTGCCCAAAGCCAGCCTCTCATTTTGCAAGGCTGCCTTCTTCATCAAAGAGAGACACAAATACATATTCGAGCTTGTAACGATGGATTTATAACTTGTTTCAACTACATTTACAATTAGGATAATACACTATCAACCGGACGTGTTTGTAGATAGGTATATATATATATATTTTAGATATACTAGACATATTAGACAGATTTGACACACCGGCTGTTTTGTCACAATTTTAAATATTTTCTATGACAGTGCATACATATTGGAAACTTGATTGAAAAACTAGGGCTGTCGTTGACCAAAGAAAATCCTGGTTCACATGGCATAAAGAAAAAATCATACAATTGTCATTCATTGTCATTAATAAAGTGAATGAACCGTAATTGAATTGATCTGGCTTGAATGTATAAAGGAAAGAATCTTGAGCATGTTTGCTAAATGTCTTCTAATTTGAGCTATAGAAATGTAATAGAAAGGGAATTTAGATTACCTAAATGAATAAAGTCAGACAGCCCTTTTGCAAACATTGTAATGTCCATGGCTGCAGCATAAGTCAAGAAATAAGTCTGAAGTGAATGCAGTCCTCTTTTGCTTTGGAGGGCCTGACCACATGTTGGGTGGATAATAGCTTCCCTCCTGCTGTATAAAAGGGCAGCCATCTATGAGTGTGAAATAGAAGGTCTTAGGGAGTGTGACACCATGTGCAGTGCTAAACACCATGTTCCATATAGACCATGGGTGGGGCAACAGGTCACTGCTAACCTCTAATTATGATCCTTCAGTTCTTCCTGCACTCGTACAGTAACCTTGTTCAGCATGCGCAACACAGAAGTTCTCAAGGACAATTTCCTAAAATATAGTTTTAATAATAAACAGATGGATTAACTGATAGAGTCCAAACGACTAAAAGTTATTCCACCTGCCATATTCAGAAGAGTAGTTGTTAAAAAGGCCAAGGTTTGTGGAGTATGATTTTCAGGAAATTAGGAATCTTCTTTTCTATTCACGTTAGCATAGTTACATTAGTCTAGCATTGTTGAATTTAAGAGTGTAATTTCTGCCCTCTACATATGAGTTTAACAATGGCCGATAACAATTGTTGTACAGCACTAAGCAGACCTAATTTGTGTATACATAATTGTTTGTCCCATGACTAATCTAAAGTATTTGTTACCTAATTAATACATGTTCTGTTATGACATTGTAATAACTTTTCACAAATCAGGTGACGCTGTGGAGATGTATTTTGTTTTTGTTTTGGCTTACAGTACAACGACTAAACACATGTTAGCTCAAATCAATCAAATGCCAAGCTTTAATATTGGCCCATACAACATCCTCTTGACCAGTAAGATCATAGTGAATGTCAGGAAAGTGCGTGAGCAGCAACAGCGCACTTGTTTAATGGCACGTGTTGCGCCCTTGTCATCCTACCTGCGCCCTCAGCTTCCAGCCCTCAGCCTCCAGCTTCCAGCGCGGATCCCCCGGGTCTGCCGCTGAATCCTTGCCGCTCTGAGCTCACGTTGGAGGGGACTGTATCATCACAGCAGAGCCGACCGGGGTTTAGAGACAGCGGCGGTGCTCCTCCTTCCCGAAACACCACACCATGGGCCGCATCCACGCAGCAGCTCTACGCTCCATCCTCTGTCATTGAAGCGCTGTCCTGTAATCAGAGCGGAGCGACGCCCTCTACGTGATGAGGATGTAACTACAGACCTGCTATTACAGTATGTGGGCTGTGCGAAACCGGTATGCCCACATGTTTGCATTTATGTATATAATATGGCACACTTAATTTTCACTTCACTTTTTACTCTTTTGCATGAGGATTAATCACTCGTTCAAGGATCCCAAATCTATTTAAATACTTAAATACAATAAATCATGTGTATACTTCAATATATTTCCAAAGACTATCTTATCTTATACGAACACTGATTTTGTACAACTTTGTACTTATATCTGAATTAATTGTATTGCCATTGTGAGTACAGGATGTACTCACATCAGTTTTCAAGTTTTCAAAGTAAAATAAAATAAAACAATAATGAAAACATCTATATAACATTTCCTAAAAGTACAAGTGCACTAAGTACAATACTTAGTTTTATTGTATCTTATAACAGTTCGGTGTTTGGAAAGTTTAATTGAAATCACCCAGTGTAAGTCCATGATTAGTCAACGTGACTGTAAAAGTACTTCTTGTATTCGATGTTTATTAAATTTAGAGATATATCTAAATTTGACTGTTTATTTCTTATAAAACCACTAGCAAAATACATGATATCGTGTATTATATCTCATATTGATATTCAGTCAAAACGAAATTTCTTATACTGTTTGAATTTTAGGCTAATCTTTTTTTAATTTGATAATTATATCTGATCTAAAAAATGATTTTTGAATTTAATAGAATTGTAAATTAAGAGACACTTGTAATCTTATTTTATAATAATATTATTGCACTTATTTTTTTATTCATAGTTGGAATTGTGGTGTATGGAATACATTCACTACTTAGGGTGTTTAGTTTAGCCATTGTTTAAGGGCCAGATTAATGCACACGTTTTGGACAGGATCCTGAACATTTATTTGGAAAATAGTTTTAAGTAATCTACATTCAAAAATCAGATCAGACTCGAACTAATAATTATTTTTCTTAAATCCCTGTGGATTTTTAATAGAGAATTTTACTATAAGCCCCACCCACTTTGTAGCTCCTTTCAGCCGTCCAAAGGGAACAAGAGTGATGATAAAACATAGACTTAAAAGGGAAAAAGACATGATGTACAAATAAAAAATATATGTGGACAGGAAATACGTCATCCTCGGTGCGTGATCTGCGTGATGTGGCGCTGGATGGACTTCCGGGTTGGTCGAATGCCCAGAGCAGCGGCTCCCTTCACAGGCCACTCCTGTGTGCTACCGCTACCGCTGTAATACACATTTGTGTGGTAAATACAGACACTTGAGGTGTTCGTTCGAAGAATCACGACCTTTCCACGGCACCACAGCCCGCGGAGATATGGAGACATTTGGAAACTCGAATAAAAAGCAAAAAGTCAGTAGCGTCGACGATCAATGGGTGAGTGGGCTTTGCTTTGGGTTTCTGCAATGATAGCGGTTGTATGCACATTCATTGTAAATGTGATCTCAATATAAAAATCAAAACATCACTGAATCATCACCTGATTCAGTCCTGCTTTAAACCATTGTTTAACGAAGACATCCTTATGAAATTCATAATGCAGTTGTCAAAATACCCCTCTTCACATTAAATAATATTTTAAAAACACATATAGTTCGCTCTATTGTTTCTTCAGATCACTATTTAAAATGTGTGTGTCTGAAACATTGTTTACAGGGGACCCAAAGAGCAACAAATGTCACCTATCAAGCCCATCATGTGAGCAGAAACAAGCGTGGGCAAGTGGTGGGCACCCGCGGGGGCTTCAGAGGATGCACTGTCTGGCTCACAGGTGTGTCACTTATGTCCAGCTCATCCAACACTCCTCTATCTGCACATGGGTCAGTGCTGTCATCTGGCTGGTTTTTCTTTGCTGAAGAAGAAGGGTACTGTTTGATACAGGGTGTCCAGACTACACTTTTTCTTTTATTTCTAGTCTAATTAGTCTATGTCTCTTTGTTCTTTATGTCTCTGGCACAGAAGTCCAACAACTGAACACCGCTCAGGTTCTGATCAGGGGGGGCGTTCCTCCCAATCACCCCTCTCCAATTGTCACTGGCCTTTCCCTCTCAAGGAGTTGGGTTCCAGAGCCCAAGCTGTGATTCAGATTCATTTTATTTGCCAATTGCAGTAAAAAGACATTTGGAATACAAAAGTCCCCAGTGTGCACAAGACAAGTACATCATAGCCGCGTTTCCACTGCAGGAACTTCGGGGTAATTTTCCAGGGCCAGCCCCGTCGATACGTGTCTCCACTGCAGGAACTTTGCCCACAGGGCCATTTACAGGAACTTTTACGGGGCCCAACGCCGGCCCTCCTTCATGCTTGGTACTCCGTTGGGCCCTGGGACTTGAGGTTAACCCGTCGCTGATTGGCTAAAGCTAGCGCAGGCTCAGGCACTCAGACGCCAGCAGAAAGCAGCAAAACAACCGGCATTCAGCATTAGCCCAGCAGCATTAGCCCAGCAGACACCACTGGAAACGGCGAACAACAAACGGGGTTTGAGGCGTCACGGCGATATGAAAATACAGTGCCTTGCGAAAGTATTCGGCCCCCTTGAACCTTTCAACATTTTGCCATATTTCAGGCTTCAAACATAAAGATATAAAATTTTAATTTTTTGTCATGAATCAACAACAAATGGGACACAATCGTGAAGTGGAATGAAATTTGTTGGATAATTTAAACTTTTTTAACAAATAAAAAACTGAAAAGTGGGGTGTGCAATATAATTTGGCCCCTTTACTTTCAGTGCAGCAAACTCACTCCAGAAGTTCAGTGAGGATCTTTGAATGATCCAATGTTGTCCTAAATGACTGATGATGATAAATAGAATGCACCTGTGTGTAATCAAGTCTCCGTATAAATGCACCTGCTCTTTGATAGTCTCAGGGTTCTGTTTAAAGCGCAGAGAGAACCATGAAGACAAAGGAACACACCAGGCAGGTCCGAAATACTGTTGTGGAGAAGTTTAAAGCCGGATTTGGATACAAAAAGATATCCCAAGCTTTAAACATCTCAAGGAGCACTGTGCAAGCAATTATATTGAAATGGAAGGAGTATCAGACCACTGCAAATCCACCAAGACCCGGCCGTCCCTCCAAACTTTCATCTCAAACAAGGAGAAGACTGATCAGAGATGCAGCCAAGAGGCCCATGATCACTCTGGATGAACTGCAGATAACTACAGCTGAGGTGGGGATGGTGTGTTCAGGGTGATGAGCTGTGTTGCTTTTACGCCAAACGTATCGTTTAGCTTTGTGGCCAAAAAGTTTGATTTTGGTTTCATCTGACCAGAGCACCTTCTTCCACATGTTTGGTGTGTCTCCCAGGTGGCTTGTGGCAAACTTTAAAGTGGTTCTCACCCCCGCTCCTCGGAGCTTACGTCACTCACATTTCCTGTTCAAATCTTCCTCTAAATGGGCGTAGCCTGGAGGACTAAAGGGGGCGTGAACGAGACTGGGCCGTTTACATTGCTCTGGGCGGGGGGCTGCTGACGTCAGGTCCAACTTCTGTGCCAGTGTTGGCTCCAGATTCAAAATTCAAATGTAGTAATACAGGTCGCCAGCAGATGGCGCCTCACAGACGGTTTTAGGCAGAAAGTCTAACTTTCAACTAATTTGCACCAAAGTGACAAGATTATGACCAGGATATGTAGACAACACTATTGGACACTCATTTATACCGTTTATCAGCAAAAAAAGTGGATTTGAGGGTGAGTTGTCCTTTAAGAGACTTTTATTGGATATCTTTGAGAAATGGCCACTCTTCCATAAAGGCCAGATTTGTGCAGTGCACGACTGATTGTTGTCCTATGGACAGACTCTCCCACCTCAGCTGTAGTTATCTGCAGTTCATCCAGAGCGATCATGGGCCTCTTGGCTGCATCTCTGATCAGTCTTCTCCTTGTTTGAGATGAAAGTTTGGAGGGACGGCCGGGTCTTGGTAGATTTGCAGTGGTCTGATACTCCTTCCATTTCAATATAACTGCTTGCACAGTGCTCCTTGAGATGTTTAAAGCTTGGGAAATCTTTTTGTATCCAAATCCGGCTTTAAACTTCTCCACAACAGTATCTCGGACCTGCCTGGTGTGTTCCTTTGTCTTCATGGTTCTCTCTGCGCTTTAAACAGAACCCTGAGACTATCAAAGAGCAGGTGCATTTATACGGAGACTTGATTACACGCAGTTGCATTCTATTTATCATCATCAGTCATTTAGGACAACATTGGATCATTCAAAGATCCTCACTGAACTTCTGGAGTGAGTTTGCTGCACTGAAAGTAAAGGGGCCGAATAATATTGCACGCCCCATTTTTCAGTTTTTTATTTTTTTTTTAAGTTTAAATTATCCAATAAATTTCATTCCACTTTACGATTGTGTCCCACTTGTTGTTGATTCATGACAAAACATTTAAATTTTATATCTTTATGTTTGAAGACTGAAATGTGGCAAAATGTTAAAAGGTTCAAGAGGGCCGAATACTTTCGCAAGGCACTGTATATATTAAGACATATCAGCTTCACCTCGAAGCACTGGGGATTCATCACACTCCAACACAAGCCATGAAAAGTAAAAAAAAAAAAAAATTAAGCAGGACTATAAAAAAAACTCAAAGACCACAACAACCGGTGCGGTCGCGAACATAAATTAAACAAATGGGTTTTGCGTAATGAGTTTCGATTATGCAGCAATCAAAACTCATATGACGTCGCCGAGTGTTTCTACTCTGCAGTAGAGACACGGAGAGGACCGAGGGAGATTATTATCCATCCATCCATCCTCTTCCCCTTAATCCATTTCTGGGTCGGGGGGGGTGGCAGTCAGAGCTGCACCCAGTCCACAGAGCACCAGCCCCTCACTGATCCTCCTGCAGGGGGTGAGTCCACAGGAGCTGAGATCTTTCAGTTGGGGCTTTGGGCAAAGTAGGGTTAAGTGTCTTGCCCAAGGACACAACGACAGCAGTCATCAGTGGGAGTCGTGAAGTAGGTCTTACGGTCGGCTCGAGCCCACGACCTTCAGGCCCAAAGGCCAATGCTCTACCAACTGAGCTACTGTCGCCCTGGAGATTATTATTATTATCTTTATTAAGGACACAATACAACACGGTCCATAGTTAAAAAGAAAATATCCAATACACAGTTTATTGCATATTGAAGAAAAAAAAAGAGGAGGAAGGTTTCTGTAAAAGTTCCACCGCCCTCCTTTTACCAGGGACTTCTGCGGTGGAAACACGGCTAAATAAAAGAATACATAAATAAAACAAACTAAAAAAGTTCAGGAAACAATTAACACTGAAATCGATCAACAAAAACAGTATCAATACAACGGCAAGATCATTAAAGTGCTCTGTTTAAAGATCAACTAAACACCTGTGCCCAGCCTTACTCCGCCCGCATGCACATTTGAAAATGTTCTCTAAAGTTGCCTGGAGGAACAAGGGACAAGAAGGGGGGCTTAGAGTTGGGCGTGGCCTGGGCTGTGATTGACAGCTCGCTTGTCAGAAAAAAATACATTTGTCATTGCTGCTTAAAGCAATAGTTTACACACCGAACCTTAGCCACAGAATTATCTCAACAGTTGTGGCTGTCAAATAATGAATGATGATGAATTTAATTTTAATCCACTAGATGTCACCATAATACTCCAACTCGCTGCTGGGGCGTTTGTGAGACTTGAGTGGGTTTATACCACTGGCTCAGAGAGACGCCCGAGCTACCTGAAGGGGCAGGTGAGCTACTGGTTGCTCCCGAGCCACTGGAGACCCCTCGTCTACATTGTATGAAACAGATCAGTGAATCATTTTGCAATAGTCATTTGCAATATGTGGATCCCTGACTGTGACTAAATATCAAATTATCCATATATACATATTACAATATTATTACAGTATATATTTCAAAAATATTTATATTTATATTTTTGCTCCCCTTAGATTAGATAGTTGGCTGTCAATTTGTGGCCCTCCACCAGCCCTATATGAAGTTCGATATACATCAAAAATTCCTAAAAATGTTGCTCATTCTTATTTTTTGGCTTTTTAAAAATTGTTTCTGATTTTTGTATGTCGTAAGATCCTTTAGCGATTGTGATTTTGAACTGCAGAAAGGTAAATTGAAATGCTTTAAGAATAATTGTGATGTTTATCTGGTGTTAGGTTTGTCAGGGGCAGGAAAGACCACTGTGAGCATGGCCCTGGAGGAGTACCTGGTGTGTCATGGGATCCCCTGCTACACTCTGGATGGGGACAACATCCGTCAGGGGCTCAATAAGAATCTGGGCTTCAGTCCAGAGGACCGGGAGGAGAACATTCGACGGATTTCTGAGGTAGCTCGTCTTTTTGCTGATGCAGGGCTCGTCTGCATCACCAGCTTTATCTCTCCGTACAGCAAGGTCAGTAAAGCACTAAGATTTAAGCCACTGCAAGACCATTGTTATTTCATCTATTAATTTGTCTTTTTATTGCCTTTCAGGATCGCGTCAATGCGAGAAAGATCCATGAAGCTACAGGATTGCCATTTTATGAAGTGTTCATAGATGCTCCTTTTGACGTGTGTGAGCAACGAGATGTAAAAGGACTGTATAAAAGAGCCAGAGCAGGAGAAATCACAGGTAACTGTTTATTTGTATATTTGTACAATTACACAGACAAAGGGTATTTAGTCCAAAGTGTTCACTTCAAAGTCTGTACACACCCATAATTTGTTTAAAAAAGTTAAAAATCACAAAAACCACACTTTGTGATTTTCAACTCAGAAACAGAAAACTTGACTATTTGGCCATTATAACATCAGCCTCAGAGTCTTTAATCAATCAAAAGTATTACATGGAGATACATTGAAGGCCTTAAAAGCTTTAAAAGTTATGAATAAGTCCAAATCACACTATTAATTTACCAGAACCTTTTGCCCAAGTTCTGGGTTTTGTCCCGTATTACTGTCAGTCATGGAAATGTGAAACAGAATAAAGATCTATATAAAAAGATGTCTGTGTATTATAAGAGCAAATAATACATGGTGCACGTGCACCCTGGCCTCCTGCTGGTGGTGTCTCCCTAAACTGCATTAACAGTTGTTATAAGCTCCTAAACTTTTACCTGACCCAACCTGGAGCTCCACATTATTGATTATCAACAGCCACAAAAACATGGCTCCTGACTACAGGTCAGCTAAATATCCTGCATTCTGCAGACCTAGTCCTGAAGGAACCTGAACAGCCCATTGATGGCTTGCCTATAAGATATAAGATGGACAGAGTAGCATAGTCCAGTCTGATATTACTTGCATCATCATAAGAATCACTGATGTAAAGAATATCTGACAAAATGCAATCTTTGTACAGAGCTTAGCTAGCATTTCATTGTGTCTTATTTAACTGGACAGACTTCTTGTTCAATAGGAACATGAGACTTCTTGCATTCTTGGCCTATATTTGGACTAGTGTTGACTATTACTGGCTCATGACGCTATGTGAGGGGCCAGTTGGTCTAGACCTCACAAAACTATACTCTAATACAGGGGTTCCCAAAGTTTTTAGCCCGCGACCCCCATCATAAATGCGCTGCTCCCCCGCGACCCCCCACCTCAACAGTCCTTCCCGTCAATGAGTATGTATTTCCTTGATATAGTGCTGGACAGTGCACTACTGAGCTGCACTGTCCAGCCCAAAAAAGGAGGCTTGCGTATTTTTACTCACGTAGTGACACAGTGATGGGCTTGGTGGGCTCCCTTCTTAGCAGAAGTGGAGAGCATTTCTTGCGGCTCGCCCTCTCTGTTCTCATACCGCGGTAAAGTGGCCCGGCTTTTCGGAGTCAGCGGTAAAGAGGTCCGCACATAAAAAGCGGGCGGCCGCTTTCTGCTGTTACTTTATGCGGTTCATCCCCGCGGCTTCTTTTTCCAAAGTTACTGTCAGTAAAGGCATAAACCGGCCACCCGCTTTTAATGTGCGGACCTCTTTACCACTGACTCCGAAAAGCCGGGCCTCTTTACCACCCTCTCCCTCCGCTGCCTTCTCTCCCTCCGCTGCCTTCTCTCCCTCCGCTGCCTTCTCTCCCTCCTTTGCCCTCTCTCCCTCCGCTGCCCTCTCTCCCTCCGCTGCCCTCTCTCCCTCCGCTGCCCTCTCTCCCTCCGCTGCCCTCTCTCCCTCCGCTGCCCTCTCTCCCTCCGCTGCCCTCTCTCCCTCCGCTGCCCTCTCTCCCTCTCTTCGCACCATCAGCCTGACCTCACATGTGACTTTTCTCCCCCTCCGGGTTTTTCTGTTGTGGATATTAACCACGTTTCATTTTAAAGCAGGTATTATTTGTTTGAAGCCTCCAAACACTTTTAGTTTTAGCAAACAACAGCTGGACACGCTTTGTCGCTGCGTGACGTAAGCTGCGTAACTTGATTTTGATTGACGCTGACAATGACTGGACAAAATTACAAACGTAATTTAAATATTTTATATCCTCCTAACACAATTTAACAAGTAGTCCTTTTGAATCAAATCAAATGCTAAATCAATATTTAAAGTGCATATGACAGATTAGGGTACCAATGTCACTTAAATGTCGATAACACAATCATATTTATTATTAAGGTTGAAATGTATATAAAATATAAGTAATATTAACAGTTTATTGCATTTTATGTGAAAATATTTACTTCCGCATTCCAACCCGGTTCCGAGCCCTACGTCACGTAAGGTACACAACACATTGCTGTATAATATATACAGTATAACAATGGAGTGCGATGCATCACAACTGTTGTATGATGGACCTATTCCATACAATTTTGAGCCTGTTGTGATAGATCACAGAGAACGTGAACGCCCGAGAGTGAGGAATGATGGCCATAGAAGGGAAATTGAGCTTTGGTGTCAAGAAAATGAATGGCGAACAGGCCAATCATCTTGGTAAACTAGGCAGCGACAGCCGCGCAAAATTCTAAATTCTGTATAAAACGTAGCCTAACTTTATTACTTAAAACCATATATTGTTTAAATAGGGCATTGTCCATTCATGAATGTGCTCTTAAGATGTCTCACCCGCGGAATTGAGTGCATGGTTTAGTCGTACTCCCCATTTGCGCATATCACATGATTATTATACAGTAGTTTATAAAATTATGCTGCCCTCCAGTGGCAACTAGCACTACCTTTAATTTATATAATTTGATTATTTCTCAAAGGTGCTTGTGTGGGAAATGTCAATTCATGCCAACAGCTGAGGAAAGCATGTGCTGCAGGGAGGTTGATGCCTATTGGAACTTGGTGGAAAAGCCCACCACAACCAAATATTACCTGTCTGACAGAACATCCAGGGTTTGAAGCTTGCTGTTTGAATCCTTATGTGCTTCAGATAGCTTACCTCAACTTCAGGCAGAAGTTTGGCCCTCTTGTTGTTACCCAGCATGAGTAGGTTCTCTTTTTCATCACATTTCTATCATGGTGGATGTCTGTGTTGACATGCAAATGTAACTCTGCAGGCAGTATCGCTACACAGCTTACAGGCAGGTGGTGCGCTGGGCATATGGCATCCTGGGCAGGCACATAAGAAAGCCTATACCATCATGCATTGTTTCCATAATAAGGAATTCCTTTCCAGAACAAGGGCAGTACAAAGGCTTTCAGTGGCCCAATTTACCAAATTATGAATAAAAAGGTAAATCTATGCTGTAGAAGTGTTTTTTGTATACAAAAACATTTAGAATATACACAATACAAAAAGTAACAATAATAACACATGCAAAGATGACTAACAAAGTATGAACTTGCTTTGTCAATATTTACAATTATGTAGGAATATTGTACTATTAAAATCCAAAGTATTGAGTTTACATTACAACTTACAAAACACTCATAACACTTAACAAGTAATTTGATATTAATATTACAATTAACCTGTGCATTTTCAAACCAGAAAAAAAAGAAAAACATGCTGAATATTTCTCACTCTTTACTAACATTTCAATGGGCAAGTTCTCTAATAAGATGAAGACTGTAGGTGGTCTTATTCATTCACACTTTCTGACATGGTCGCTGTGTCTGACTATTGTGGTGAAGAGGGAGACGTGTCTGCAGTCAGAGCTCTGGATTTCCCGCTCAGTGGTGGAAATTAGCAATTAGTATTCACTGGGAAGAAAATCTAGAATGAAGCGCTTTATATTGTCTGACTGCCTCCTCCTTTGGAACTTTCTGAAATGATGCTGTAAGAGGCTGCGGCGCAGAGGATGCCAGGAGAGCACTGCTTTGTCTCAACTCCTCCGGAGTGCTGCTGTAGGTTCGATGCAGATGCTCCATAAGATCAAACGCATATTCTAATGGATACAGACATAAATTAGATGCATATACCAACAGTACAATCCATTTTATTCTTAGTTACGCTTGATGCAAACCATATGACGGAGTCTCCTTCATTGGACGGACCACTGCAGTACCCTTCATAAACCGTGGGTACCGTACTTGATGGCGGACCTCACCATCAGATCGCAGAACTTCTCTGTTGCTGTTATGGTTGAAGTGAAGGGCAGCAAGAAGAAGCCTAATGGGAATTGGCAAAATTGTTGTTATAAAATAGGACAGTAAAACAGCAGTTTCAAAAATTTGCCAATATTTACCTGCTATACATGCCCAGGAAGGAGAACCCAGTGTGTTTCGGTGCAAAGTGGAGAATGAGCGCATGGAACGCCTCAAGTGAATAGGTCTGATGTGAGGGCGACAGTTGTCGCACATCTTTAACAAACATTGGCCGCATCGCCATGCTCTCCAGCTTTATGGATACCAGGGATCCTGTGATCAATTTATTTTGTCAGTGCAAGTTCAAACAAAATTGTATGCTTTCCTAGAATAATATATGGCGGCAGGCAGGCTAACACTCAGGCTTCACAGCATCTTTCTGTGGGGACTTTCTACACGCGAGGGATGGTTAGCACACATGTTCACTTTTGTAATATTAACAACAATAATAATAAATCACCTGGTTCCAGCCACTGCTTCTCTCTGGTTTCTCCTTCCAGAGGAGGATGAGCACAGACTGGAAACCAGGGGCTCTTGTGAGTGTGGATGTCCTGGACATGGTTCACCAAACTAGTCCACTTTGCCTCCAACACTTCAGGATTGCCATCAGGTGTGGATGCAGCAGTCCAGTAAAGATGGTTTATAACTGCAGCTTTCCAGAGGGCGAGATCCTCACAGTGTTGCTCTTTAGAGGCAGCATCCAAAGCCTTCTTTAAACCTGAAAAACCAGAACATGAATTATAAAAGCAAAAATATTTCAGACGGTCCCAAGACAATTTATAATTAGATCATTATTACCACCATCTGTGATTGGGAGAATTTGTCCATTTGCTTATGACACAACTCCGGTTATGGGTGGATTTGGATTTGAAGTTTTTAGGAAACATGAACTATGGGCCAATCAACAATCCATTTTTGAGGTGAAACTAACTTTGTTTGTGCCATAACTCACCAAATGGCGGCGGTATAAGAGTGCTTTCATAGTTACCTTTACTAACATGCCAAATATCGAAGAAATGTTTTGTGCCTTCTGGACATAGCTTCTCACGCACCCACTTGGTCACCTTTTGAGTAACAAAAGTCTTTGATATAAATGACTGTGACTGAAGATATTATTAAAAGTTATCCACATTCATTTACCTGGCGATTTTAATTTTCTCCTTAGAAAGAAGGTTGATGGTCCGCTTTAGTCCCTCCAATTCACACCAATTACTATTGGGTACTTCCGAGCTCTTTGAGAGGCACACAAAAACAGGATTATTCTCATCCCAAACTTTGTGTACAAGGCACGACTAACTATGAACCTTTTAAATACAGAATTCCTTATGCCTTATACATGATGGTATTTAATATTACATTCTATATTGACATTAATAACTAATCATGGCTGGTTTGAAAATGTATGTAATGCATTCATATTTTTCCATCTCCACCTCTGCAGATAGTTGGCTTGGTCAACACATGGGTTTACTTATGGTGCATGTTATTGTGTGGTAGTAGAAACCGTGCCCGGAGAAAATCCACCCAGACACGTAGATAATCATGTGATCACCGTGCAGATGGGCCATATTGAAATTGAAACATGTGACTCAGCCACAGTATTGCCATACCTGAGTTGAAGGTCCAAAACTTTGTTTATCCTCTCCTCAATTACGGTGTATGTTCCAAATTTAGCACAATGCCCCGGTGAATCAGATCTGTTCAAATGTTTGTTTGTTTATACATTGTTATAATTATTCATAACGTACGAGAGTTATTCATCTTCAACTCACCTGCAGTCGCCAGCAAGAATAAGCCCTCCCTCTTTGGCCTTCAGTTGGTTCAGAATTTGTGCTTGTTTGTTCTTCCACGTTCCAATGATGGTGGGGATCGTGTATAGTTGCTGGTGTCGAAAGAATGTCCTAACACTTATACATTGCACTCCAAGCAGGCCAAGCATCCTCAAAGCCTGTGTTGGCATGCACCCTGAAAAGTGGATGGCCCCACTAAGCATCAAGTTGCACAAAGGCATATATTTGTGCATCTTTGGTTGGTTCTGCCATTCCCGTTCAAAACCACAAGCAGAGCAAATCTGTAAGAAAATGAATTCATTAATATATGCAATAAAAACTGCCAACAGTGAGAACAGAGTTACTCATGGTAAAGACAATCTTGCCTGTTCCACATTAATAAAGGTTCCCTGTTGGTGTTTTACTTTTCGCTGGGTTTCCTCAGAACATTGTGGACAAACGGAAAACAAGGACAGCAATTGTGATTCACAAACTATAAATTTGTCTGCAAATCTATTGAAAAGTTAATACATTTACTTCCCCATTAGAACAGTCCAATTATACAACAATGATCACTTACTTTGTATTTCTCTGTTCTTCATCCTGTGCCTCTTCCTCCGATGTATCAGTGTCCATTTCCTCCTCCTCAATGCTCCAAGAGCTGTCCCACTGATGACTATCAAAATCAAAGGAGGACTGCTCATCCTCCTCATCATTCTTCACAGGTGTAGAGGTCACATGATTGATGGCCGTTGTAGTGGAATGAATATCCTCTTCAGTTTGAGTGCCAATACTTATCAATGTAGGCTTCACCTGGACACCTTGAACATAAGGGAAAACTTTCTGAATCAGGGGGGGAAAAATGTTTTCCATTTTATATTATAATTAAGTTCTACAAAGTGAGTGTGACATGTGTTAGTAACTTTTAGATACTATTTCAATCTATGTTGGGAAACAAACATTACCGGATGAACGATAAGGAAGTCTTATGTTGCACTGTAGAGCCTGATCGATAGTTCTTGGCAAAGAATCAGTGGTAAAGTCTTCATCGGGTTCATTCATGATTTCTTTTGTAAGAGCTTCATCATCTTCACTCAAAATCTGAAACGCACAAAACATTTACTACACATCATCTGTCAGCAGCTTGTATGAAGCTAAACAAGTTTCGAAAAATTGTAATTTCCAACAAATTGCCTTATATGAGCAAAACAGGACAAATACTAAACCGCAAACTTGGTTATAATTGAATGTTGCGTTATGCTGCTCATTTGTAAAAGTTTAGACAATTTTCTTGGTTCAAAAATGTCACAATTCAACTTGTAAATTACTGAAATGGGAACAGCACTCCCAGTTAGAAATTGGGAAATACCAGCTGACATTAGTCCCACCACTTCAGTAACTTACGAGTTCAACTGTGACGTTTTTAAACACAATGGATTTTAAATGACTAACACAGATACAAATAGAAAATTATGGTTTAGTATTGGAAATTTTGTTTACACAAGTTAATTTGTTGAAACGTGTTACAAACATGCAGTACATTCATTCACATAATGCTAGCTTATGCTATATGCTTGCTAGTTGAACTCGAGTAGCTAACATATGTATCCAACACAATAGCGCTTATGTAGCTAATACATTTAAATAGAAACAACGCTAACTGTTACTTACTGAAAATAACCAGCGTTTTGTTGAAGCTGATGAAGATCTTTCTGTACCAGCACCTGCATTACCCGCGTTAGCACTAGCACCCCCGCTAGCACCCCCGCTAGCAGCAGACAAAGATAAAGACTGTACACTGGGCACGGCTCCTTCCGTCAGCCTCACATTGTTTCGACTTTTGAAGCCCATCTCCATTTCCATCAGATCTCCACTTAGATAGTTCTCTTTCTTGAAATGGGCTTCACAGATGACAGAGCTCGTGGTCACAGAGGCCGCGGTAAAGTCCTTCCTCTTCGTCTGTACAAAATTCACCCAGGCACGGAAAAGAGAAGACTTTTTTTTCCTTTGGGAAAATAATGTAACCTGAATCCGGAAGATGAAGAATTCGTGCACCCTCCACACACACAATAGTTCACCATATTCAAAAAAATAAACGACAAATTGACAGAAAATCCGATACCAGCTACTAGGGGTGATAGCAATAACTAGAGTGAGGCAAGTTCAAACTCCCTTACGCTACGTCACGTCACGTGACTAAGGATTTTGCGGTCTATTTGAGGCATTTTACAAACGAATTGTGTAATTTATTATTTAATGAGAACTTTTATCATTTTCATGGGGATGAAGGAATTATATGAGAGGGAAATCAAATGATTTATTGTATCTGTCATATGCACTTTAAGGGCTATTAATTAGCAAAATGTTTTTTTTTTTTTTTTTTTTTGGAAATCATCTTGCGACCCCCCCCCCCCCCCCCCAGGGGTTCCTGGGGGGGGGGGGGGTTCCCTAACCCCACTTTGGGAACCACTGCTCTAATACACCATTTTTGTTCCATATTTATATTCTCTGTAGGCTTCACTGGGATTGACTCTGAGTATGAGAAGCCAGAGGCCCCTGAGCTGGTGCTGAAAACTGACTCATGCAGCGTGAACGAGTGCATCCAACAAGTGGTGGACCTGCTGCAGGAGAGGGTAACTGGGAACTAGAACTCCTGTGGTTCTGTTTATTGCACGTGTTGCGTTATGACTAAAATAACATAAAGGCATCGTGGGAAGGGTGGATGGTTGCTGGGATAAACATTTCAATTCTGATTAGTTTAGTGATTTTTTTTTTCATTGAAGGATCTAAACTACACATTTCAAGTAGTTGTAATATTAGTACGGTTTAAATTACACTGCCTTTAGGGTTGGCTTGCCTCCTGTTCTTTAAAGGTTCCATATTGCGCTCTTCTTCATGCTACAGTCCATCCTATGCACATGTGTGATAATAATTTGAGTGATATTTGAGATTATAGCCATCTCTTGCAAAAGCAAATTCTTCAGAACCGTCGATACGACCTGAGAATATACTTTTTCCCACAATGGCAATTAGACACATCGAGCCCTATGTCCTCAATCCAGAATCAGACCCTAATTATTTAGTTTACAGAAGTATACGGCGAGTTAGCAGCGCTGTACGGTGGGGGTTTTGTGTCAGCGTTCTTTATCGTGGGAATAACACTGGTGTCCAGATTCGTTTTTGAGTAAGTCCAGTTCATGGTAACTGTAGTTCTGGAACAGCTTTAGTGAAGTGTCGCAGATGAAGGCAGTTCCCCGTGAAAAAAAGTCGAGCTGCATTCTTCCAAATAGTTTCTCACATATTTACATCCAAAAACACATGTTCTCCAAGTTGAAATGATTTTAACACTTTTAATCGCTGACAAAAGCAGAAAAACAGTATAGCTCTATGTGGTGGATGCGGGGCTGTAACAGACTGTCTCCAACTAAAGCTTGAAGGAATCAAGATTCAAGATTAATTTATTATGTCCCGTAGGAAATTTGTCTTGGACTCACCGGCTGCTACATCTTTGGTAATGTGTATGAAGGCCAATCAGCACTGTAAAGATGTTTATAGTCAAAAAGCGCAATATGGCACCTTTAAGGAGACCAACAAATATGCTAAACTAAAGCTGACTATGTGAGTTTCTAAAAGTTGTGACACTGACATATGGATCTGATTATTTTTTCTGTTTTCTGCATCCAAATGCCACAAATTTCCTGTCCTTTATTCTAATTTTATATACATTAGGAATCAATATTACATTTAGCATGTACACATATTTAAAAAGGTATTAACTTGACCAAACCCGAGTAAGCATTGTCTTATAAATGGTCAATTATTAAGTAAAGAGAAAGATGGATCTACACGATTTGGATGCAGTCCATGAACAGTGTCAAAGTTTCTCCTGTAAGTTAATTATTTCACAAGCTATTTCACCTTTTTGTGATTTTATTCAAAAAGATAAAAGTAAACATGTGGACCACAGCAACCTGCTTGTTTTTTTAATTGCTTTAAACTGCACTCCAACCAGTTCACGGCCAACCAGCATCACGGGTACCTTCAGTAACTTCAGTAGTGCAGATAATGATAAGGGAAGAAAACTTTACTGTTTTACCAAGTACCACTGTAGGCTACATTGCCATGTTTGACTTACCACTAGAGGGAGTTATTGTAACATATATTGCTATCCTACGTTCAATAAAACAGCTAAACTTAATGGCAACATTTACACTTGATGTTTCCGTCTTTTCTAGGACATTGTTCCCATTGATGCGTTCCATGAGGTCAAGGAGCTGTACGTGCACGAGAACAAGCTGGACCTGGCCAAAGCTGATGCCGAGACTCTGCCTGCAGTGCAGATTGGGAAGGTCTGTCTCCGTGTCTGTAACTGTTGATAATACCATGACTTCCCTTTGACATTCTTGTGTCTTCATGTGTGTGGCTCAGGTGGACATGCAGTGGGTCCAGGTTCTGGCTGAAGGCTGGGCCACTCCTCTCAATGGCTTCATGAGAGAGAGGGAATACTTGCAGTGTCTTCATTTTGACTGTCTGTTGGACGGTAAGGGACTATTATATTGACTATATATAGATATAGATTAGGGCTGTCAAACGATTAAAATTTTTAATCGAGTTGATAACAGCTTAACATTTAATTAATCGCATTTCGAACAATCGACAAAATTATGCCATATTTTTTCTGTAAATAGTTGTTTGAATGGAAATATAAATGACAACATAGTGTACATATGTACTGTATTTGTTTATTATAACAATAAATCCACATAAAATGACATTAACATTATTAACATTATCTTTCTTTAGTAGACAGTCGTTTTTCAGCGCAACATATTCCGCTTCAGCTAAAGCCTCCTTCTTTTTCTCTGTCTCATAAAGGTCCTCTTCATTATTGTGCCTCTACAAACTATTGTTTGTTACAGGGATGAGAATGGGACATTTGAAAAAAGTCTGAAATGCATGTCAGTCAATGGCTGTCATTAACTCTGATTTGCAGATAGCACTGTAATCATGTTTAAACCAGAGAAAAGTCAAAAGGCCTAATATGGGACCTTTAAATTTGAATTCCCCACCCAGAGGGCCTATGCTCTGTCGCCAGCTCACACGCATGTATCTGCGGCACTTATGAGAAAGTATTTGGCCCCCTTGAACCTTTCAACATTTCGCCACATTTCAGGCTTCAAACATAAAGATATAACATTTTTATTTTTTGTCATGAATCAACAAGTAGGACACAATCGTGAAGTGGAACGAAATTTATTGGATAATTTTAAACTTTTTTAACAAATAAAAAACTGAAAAGTGGGGCGTGCAATATTATTCGGCCCCTTTACTTTCAGTGCAGCAAACTCACTCCAGAAGTTCAGTGAGGATCTTTGAATGATCCAATGTTGTCCTAAATGACTGATGATGATAAATAGAATGCACCTGTGTGTAATCAAGTCTCCGTGTAAATGCACCTGCTCTTTGATAGTCTCAGGGTTCTGTTTAAAGCGCAGAGAGAACCATGAAGACAAAGGAACACACCAGGCAGGTCCGAGATACTGTTGTGGAGAAGTTCAAAGCCGGATTTGGATACAAAAAGATTTCCCAAGCTTTAAACATCTCAAGGAGCACTATGCAAGCAATTATATTGAAATGGAAGGAGTATCAGACCACAGCAAATCTACCAAGACCCGGCCGTCCCTCCAAACTTTGTTCTCAAACAAGGAGAAGACTGATCAGAGATGCAGCCAAGAGGCCCATGATCGCTCTGGATGAACTGCAGATAACTACAGCTGAGGTGGGAGAGTCTGTCCATAGGACAACAATCAGTCGTGCACTGCACAAATCTGGCCTTTATGGAAGAGTGGCAAGAAGAAAGCCATTTCTCGAAGATATCCATAAAAAGTCTCGTTTAAAGTTTGCCACAAGCCACCTGGGAGACACACCAAACATGTGGAAGAAGGTGCTCTGGTCAGATGAAACCAAAATCGAACTTTTTGGCCACAATGCAAACGATATGTCTGGCGTAAAAGCAACACAGCTCATCACCCTGAACACACCATCCCCACTGTCAAACATGGTGGTGGCAGCATCATGGTTTGGGCCTGCTTTTCTTCAGCAGGGACAGGGAAGATGGCTAAAATTAATGGGAAGATGGATGGAGCCAAATACAGGACCATTCTGGAAGAAAACCTGTTGGAGTCTGCAAAAGACCTGAGACTGGGACGGAGATTTATCTTCCAACAGGACAATGATCCAAAAAATAAAGCCAAATCTACAATGGAATGGTTCACAAATAGACGTATCCAGGTGTTAGAATGGCAAAGTCAAAGTCCAGACCTGAATCCAATCAAGAATCTGTGGAAAGAGCTGAAGACTGCTGTTCACAAACGCTCTCCATCCAACCTCACTGAGCTCGAGCTGTTTTGCAAGGAAGAATGGGAAAGAATTCCAGTCTCTCGATGTGCAAAACTGATAGAGACATACCCCAAGCGACTTGCAGCTGTAATTGCAGCAAAAGGTGGCGCTACAAAGTATTAGCGCAAGGGGGCCGAATAATATTGCACGCCCCACTTTTCAGTTTTTTATTTGTTAAAAACGTTTAAATTTTCCAATACATTTTGTTCCACTTCACGATTGTGTCCCACTTAAAATTTTATATCTTTATGTTTGAAGCCTGAAATGTGGCGAAATGTTCAAGGGGGCCGAATACTTTATCACCACTGTATCAAAATATTCTATTAAACCCATTATGAATATTAATATAAGCCAAACCATGTGGCCTGTATCATAGCTACATGTGTGACATTTACAGTAAAAGAAAGTGTGAAAATTGGTTAATTATTCGGCGAGTTATGATTAATTAAATGCGCTGACACGTCACTTCGGGTGCTAAAGAGTTCACTCTGAGAGGAGCAGGTGACCGGTCGGCAGCGCTAGCAGTAGCGGTAGATGCAGCGTCTACTCTTTGTCTATGACTGGCAGCCTGTGATCCAGTACTCTACCAGTCACAAAATCTTGGCGTGCTACAACGTTCTCGCAAATATTCAAGAAAAAGTAACTTGCGTCATCATTTCAATTCAATTCCATTTATTTTTGTAAAGCCCTAAATCATAACAGCAGCGGTCTTGGAGGACTTTAGAAAAGTGTTGATTCAGTAACAACGGATCAGAGAATCAAACATTTGAAACACTGGAAATGCAATAAGGACAGAGCCATTGGTCCATAGGGAGTGGGATGACCAATGTCCAGACATTTTAAATGTCCACAAATGTCCTGGATCACCACTGTCTTTAGACCCTCATGCATCGGTCAAGGAACGACTCAAAAACTCAGTGGGAAAAGTTGTTAAAAAAAAACCTCCCTGATATGAATTGCCTGCGCCTGTCAGATTAACACACCTCCTCTCAACTGTCAGGGGGGATCATCAACCTGTCTGTGCCTGTGGTGCTGCCGGTGTCCAGCGCAGATAAGGAGCGTCTGGACGGAGTGACCGCCATGGCTCTGGTCTACGAGGGCCGACGTGTGGCCATCCTGCGCAACCCAGAATTCTATGAGCACCGCAAGGAAGAGCGCTGTGCTCGCCAGTGGGGCACGAGCTGCAAGGACCACCCTTACATCAAGGTCTGTGTGCAGTAGTAAAGAGCAGCAAGTGCTACGATTCTAACATGTCAATACAGTTCGATACTGGCAAAAGTAGGTTACAACATAAATGTATGTATGGAACTGTGTCAGGACCCACCATCAACATGTAACGCCAGGCCACAAACCAAATGACAACCGAAAATCTTTATAAGAAAAAGAAGACTACATTTATTCAGCTCTTTCCCCAAAGCATAAAATAGTGACTCAAAGCGCTGCAGAAAATCAAATGTTTTCTAATAAGATGAAAACCGTTGTGAAGTTGAGTAAAAAGTTAGGTGCGCCAGCTTGAAAATATAGCTTTCTTTCTTTTTGCTACCTTTTCCTGCTATGCTGTTTGTCTGCTTTCACATGCGTAACAATAGCAACTCGTTTGTTTGCTTTTCCCGTTGTTGTCTCCAAAGGATGCGTCTGGTAAGTTTCTCAATCCTGGCCAGTGGCCACAAACCATATGCATGGTGGTTTTCAATAAGGACTTCATCAAACACTCTCAACATTGAAATGGATTATTTTCCGCATTGCTCCCCTAGGGAAAAATATTATTGTAATGAAATGTGTCTTTTCTTTTCTTCTTTTTTTTAACAAAAAAAAAAAAAACAACACTAACCTCACTTGCTTTGTGATGTACCAGAAGTTTTTTGGCAAAATACAAAAAATTTTGATCCAGAAAATCAAATCAGACCTTTCCGTTCAGATTTTACATTTAGTTTTCATCCCAATGCCTAAAGAGCTGCTCTGAAAATCTTTCCTTCTTCTACATAAGTGACTTCTTCTCGAGGTCTTCCTTCTTTTCAACATACCGTTCTGGAAAAAGTAAGTTGTCACTTTGCATCACTGTATCGAGGCCCAGACTATTGTTCTCAGTAACTGGAGCAGACACCACTGCACCTGCCAACAAGTGCTTCGGGAAATGTTAACTTTAGGACTATAGGAGATTTGAGGAGAAGTCTCTCAAACGCAAAACCTGTCTTGGAATCACACATGTGCAAAGATGAGTGTGAAAAACTTGTTTTCTGATTTTCTAATTTGGTCTTCTTTGGCAACGTTTTTAGAGCTGTAATGTCGACCAAGAGGAGATTAGTAATTGGTATTGGATATTTGATTGAAAATTAGTTTAGAGCTGTTTCTATGGGCGCGTTCACAAGACTTTGCAGAGCTGTATCACTAGAATCAAATTGAAATTGTTGAGAATAATTTACACAAACTACCTATTCTGTCTTTACGGAGATGTTTTTGAGTGGAATTACTTTGGCTTTATTCATTCATTAATCAAAAAAACTTGATTTTGGATTAAGCAACTTTTAAGAGAATGTCCAGAGAATATCAACACATTTCAGAGAATCAAACAGAACACAGAAAATGTAATAAAAACAAATGCAGAGGAGCCAATGGTTCGTGGGAGCAGGATAGCAACTGTCCATAAATGTTAACGGTTTTAATAATTCTGGATCAAAAGCCTTGGTCATATCATCACTGGAATATCCTGGAGAAATACAAAATGCTCAATTTTGAAAACTGTTGCCTTGTTTACAAAGCACTTCATGGTCTTGCCCCGCCCCCACTCTCAAACTACTTTAAACCTGAAGCAGTGAGCAGAACGTCCTCTAGAGGAGATGTGGAGATCTCATAAAAACAACATTTGGACAAACTGCTGTCAGTCAGAGGAGGTCAGTCTTTAAAAAACAACTTAAACACCATATTAAAGTAAATCAGTCCTGCACTCATTTTAACTAATTGTAACTTGTATAGTTGTACATTGTCTTTTGTATTCTTATTATTTTGTGACCTGCCTCAGGACTACGGATGTAAAATAGCAGTTTTGCTATAATTTGGCACATTTACAATTTGTGTACAACGTGTATATGATTGTTTATTAATGTGTGTTGTCCTGATCAAATAAAATAAATGGTACAATTCCTGCACCATATGATATGCAATCAGATTACCATGTAATGAGAAAAGAATGAATTGTCTACTAAATACATATTAGTTTTAATCATATTAATTAAATTAAAGTGATACTGTATATTTTCAAATATTTTCTCCAGTTTTGAGCGTAAAAGTAGAATTTATGTCAATGACACAAGAAAAGCACTTATCTGTTGAACATGTTCAACCTGATCAAGGTTTTGTCACATTGCTCCTCGTCAGTGCCTGAGTATTGACTGATAAGATGAGCTTTGGCTCTTTAACTTATGGTTCCCTGTATCATATCTATAGCCCACGTCCAACTCCTAAGTCAAACAATAACTAGAACGAGAGGTTGAGTCAAATATGAGAGGCCTATATCTCATATATTTAAGTGAAATGAGTGTAAGCTGTAATATGCACTCTGAGCTTGTGCAACTGTAGTCCATGATGGGGTAGGTTTTGATGATGTCTGTATTGGCTCTTTCAGATGGTGCTGGAATCTGGAGAGTGGCTGGTGGGTGGAGACTTGCAGGTTCTGGACCGTATCCTGTGGCAAGACGGCCTGGACCAATACAGACTGACTCCCAACGAGCTCAAGCACAAGTTCAAAGAGATGAACGCAGGTAAGGGTTGAACAGGCGAATCATCTGATTAATACAGGTTCAACTATGGTTTGGTCTTTCAACTCCATCTAGATCAAAACTAGGTCTATATAGGGCGGAAGCAGGATTTTAAAAGACCTACAAACATGGCAAAGTCTTGAGTAGAGTCAAATGTGCAATGGAGCAATGCAATTACCTAGTTGTGCGTTAGAATGGATCCAATGAATGAATGTGGATTAAAATGACAAAAAACCTTTCCATTCCATCTTCTTCCGCTTCATCCGTTGCCGGGTTGCGGGGGCAGCAGTATAAGCAGAGACGCCCAGACTTCCCTATCTACACACACTTCCCCCAGCTCGTCCGAGGGGGGACCCCAAGGCGTTCCCAGGCCAGCTGAGAGACATAGTCCCTCCAGCGTGTCCTGGGTCTTCCGCGGGGCCTCCTCCCAGTGGGACATGCCCGGAACACCTCCCCGGGGAGGCGTCCAGGAGGCATCTGGAACAGATGCCCGAGCCACCTCAACTGGTTCCTCCCAACGTGGAGAAGCAGCGGCTCTACTCAGAGTTCCTCCCGTGTGACTGAGCTCCTCACCCTATCTCTAAGGGAGTGCCCAGCCACTCTGCGGAGGAAGCTCATTTCGACCGCTTGTATCCGCGATCTCGTTCTTTCGGTCATTACCCAAAGCTCATGACCATAGGTGAGGGAGGGAACGAAGATTGACCGGTAAATCGAGAGCTTTGCTCAGCTCCCTCTTTACCACAACGGTCCGATACAGCGACCGCATCACTGCGCGCGCTGCACCAATCCGCCTGTCAATCTCACGCTCCATCCTTCCCTCACTCGTGAACATGACCCCGAGATACTTGAACTCCTCCAAGGCAAGGCAAGTTTATTTATATAGCACAATTTGCTGAACAAAATAAGAAAGCATTAAAATCATAAATAATCACAGAACATTAAAAAGAAAGATAAAAATATAAAATCTCTCAGTTGTATGCACAACTAAACAGAACCGTTTTTAACCTGGTTTTAAACATTGTCAGAGAGGAGGCCTGTCTCACATCTTCAGGAAGACTGTTCCAGATTTTAGCAGCATGAATCTGAAAAGCTGCCTCCCCATGTTTAGTTCTGACTCTGGGCACTAACAGGAGTCCAGTCCCTGTGCTCCTCAGAGTCCGGGCTGGTTCATATGGGACTAACATGTCACTAATATATTTTGGTGCGAGGACATGGAGAGACTTGTACACAAGCAGAGCTGTTTTAAAGTCTATTCTCTGAGCCACAGGAAGCCAGTGCAGGGACCTGAGAACTGGACTAATGTGGTCGTACTTCCTGGTTCTAGTCGGGACTCGAGCTGCTGCATTTTGAATGTACTGCAGCTGTTTTACAGCCTGTTTGGACAGACCTGTGAGCAGGCCATTGCAGCAGTCTAACCTACTGGAGACAAATGCATGGATAAGAATCTCCAGGTCTGCTTTAGACACTATGTTTTTGATCCTGGCAATGTTTTTTAGATTGTAAAAAGCTGCTGATGTTACTGATTAGATGTGGCTATTAAAATGTAAGTCTGAGTCCAGTATTACCCCTAGATTTCTGACCTTGTTTGAAGGTTTGGAGGTCCTTCCTCCACTTGAGGAAGGATCTCCCCACTGTTGTAGAATTACATACCCCAATGAAGGAGAAAGCTCAAAGGTATTTATCCTTTAGCGTAAGTTTATTGTAACACACGTGCGGAGAGCTCACATACACAAAAGGCAGCGTACATCAGCTCTAACGCGGCCAGACCAGGTTCCTGTTTACATAGACAACACATGAAAGACAGTCACGCCCACAAAAGATGGGAGGGGGTCACCAGTACAGGAGGCGCATCCAGAGGCGAGGCGCCATGCCCGTGGGGAGGCAATCAGACCGTGCCATAGAGATGCAAACAGAGAGACAATGGACATGCAGGATGTAGAGATGCAGACATACAGATGCAAGATGCAAAAGGGACAAGGGTGAGACAGTCATTGTCTGTAGGTGCGGGGGGAAGCCCGGCTCCTTCCTGCAGGTTAATTGAATAGAACCAGCGGGGGGGGGGTGAGTTGGCGTCCCCGAGTCTAGGCAGCTTGCCATCACACTCCTTTCCCGTGATAATGTAGAAACCCCAGTTTTACAGAGATCACATTCAGGTGGGTGAGTATTGACCTTGGTCCCTGAGCAAAACAAGTGGAAAAATAAAAACAAGGTAAACAAGAAAGAAAAACGTTAGACAAAGTCATCGTCCGAATCGCTGATATAATCAGGATCGGAGTTCAGTGGGACAGCGGCCAGGTCCGCCTCGGGGTCTTTGTATTGAATGGACACAAAGTGAGTGGATATCATTTTACCAACGGCCCGAAACACCATAGGTAATACACATGAAAATAAAATCATAACAGTCAGTAGGGCTAAACCAAGATTAATGAGCACACTCCGCCAGGAGGACAGGAGCCAGTCCTGACCGTGAGGAGTGTCCGTGACATTGTCCGCTTGCATGGCGTCCCGGAGTCTAGTCAGATTGGCTATGCCCTGTTGGATAAGACCTCCGTCCTCATCATTAGCCGGAATATATGTACAGCAGGACGACCCAATGATCGTGCATACGCCTCCCACAGACGCGGTCAGGTGGTCCAGGACCAACCGGTCCTGAAGAACAACGGCACGTAGGTCGTGAAGTTCAACTCTCTGTGATTCAAGTATGGCCACTGTGGTATTGACAAAACCTGAGAACCTATAGCTCAGGGTCTCCGTCCTTAGCATTAGTTTACCTACACCCAGGCTGGGGAATAATGCTAACATTATTTTCTGGCCTGTGGTCCATAATTTGTGGTCATCGGGTACATTAGTGCCCCACAGGGGGTCGTCTCGGGATTCGGAGGCAGGGGAGTTGGGCAAAGGGGGTCGCCTCGGGAACGCTGGGATTCTCTGGGTGTTGTTGTTGGCCTGCTTCACCGACGGTGGTCGCACGCCGACCGACCTCTTCAGCGTAGGGAGCCGCGGATGGGCCTGGTCCGTCCCCACCCTCGGTGTCCTCGTCTATGGCCCTCAGTGGCAGCACCGCACGACAGTGGTACCGGCAGTGTCCGTCACCAGGAGGACGAGGAATGGGCCCAGCCAGCGCTTGGACCGCCAATGTTGTCGTCTCGTTTCCTTCACCAGGACCCAGTCGCCTGGCTTGATCTTGTGCGGAGCCGCCTGCGCAGCCTGTGGCAGGGCGCTCCTGACCTGGGCAGAAATAGAGGGCAAAAGTGCATTAATTTCCTTACAATAGGACAGCATGTCGTCATCACACAAAGAGGTGCTTGGCAGATCTCTGTTCGGGGGTCCCGCGCCCAAGTTGGGTGGTCTGGCAAAGAGGATTTCGAATGGGCTTAGGTTTGACCCTGACCTGACTCTCATGCGCATGTACATGAGGGCTAGCGGCAGAGCTTTGATCCAAGACAGGTCTGTCTGTTCGCAGATTTTAACAAGTTTGTTTTTCAGAGTGCCATTCTCTCGCTCGCACGCGCCTCCGCTCCAGGGGGCGTAACTGCAGTGTTTACGTATATCAATGCCCAGAAATTCACCCACTTCCTCAATGACTTTTGCTACAAAGTGACTGCCATTGTCGCTAGAGATTTTTTTCTCGGGACACCCCATCGTGGCACAATTTCTGTGAGCAGAGCTTTCACCACCGCGTTGCTCGTGGCGTGTTTGCATGCAAATACTTCAGTCCATTTGGGCCAGAGATCCACCAGACAGTATTTCTTACCTTGGCATGGTGTGAGTTCAACAAAGTCCCTTTGGACATGTTGAAATGGGCGCAGGGGCGGAGGATGGGCAGCCTGTTGGATAATTTGGGACTTACCTGGGTTGTGCGCGAGGCAGATAGCGCATGTTTGGCAGAATCTCTGTGCAAATGCCGTAAACCCCTTCGTATACCAATTTTGTGTGATTAAATTACACATCCCTCCTTTTGAGGCATGGTCTCGGCCATGTGCTAAAATTGCAAAATGTCTGAAGAAATGCCGTGGTAAGCACGGTTTGAGGTCTGGTCCCAGCCACACACCATGCCGTCGTTGAGCCCCATTTCCCTCCCACAGCATCGTCTCTGCTGGAGTAGCCAGTGCCTGCATTGTTGACAGAGAGGAGAAAATATCAACGTCTTGAGTGAGGTAGTGTGTGTGTGTGGGTAGAGGTGAGTATGCCGCTGCCTTGTCCGCGCGCCGATTCCCTGCAGAGATGGGATCAGTGGCATTAGTGTGGGCCTGGCATTTGCATACAGCGATCTCTAAGGGCAACATTACAGCTTTCAGCAGATGTTCAACCTGTGTGGAATTAAGAATTGGTTTACCATCAGATTTCATAAAATTGCGGTGTTTCCACAGTGCCCCCCAGTCGTGCACCACAGAGAAACCATAACGCTTATCACAGAATATGTTAACAGTTTTGCCCGCTGCCAGCTCACACGCCCTGGTGAGCGCGACCAGTTCAGCGGTTTGTGCTGAATGGTGGTGGGGGCAAACTACCAGAGTCTATAGTATCAAAATCAGAGCACACAGCATAGCCGACTCGGTTCTTCCCAGTGTTGTCACGTGACGCGGCTCCATCTGTATATAAAAAATCAAGTCAGGATTAGTCAGAGGTACCTCTTTCAGGTCTGGCCTGGGAGTGCATATCTGTTCTATTGTGGCGATACAGCAGTGTGCCTCCCCTTCCTCTGGCGTGGGCAGCAGTGAGGAGGGGTTCAGCTGTGTGCATCTTTTCACCGTGACATTGGGGAGTTCAAAGAGCACCGTGTTGTATTTCAGCCAACGAGCCGCAGAAAGGTGAGAGGTTTTCTGCTCTAGCAGGATCAGGGAAACAGCATGGGGCACAAGCAAAGTTAGTTCAGTGTATCCCACAAGGTCACGTGATGCTAGGGCCGCTTTCTCAGCGGCAGCCACAGCCCGCAGGCAGCGAGGCAACCCTGCTGCCACGGGATCGAGTTTTGCTGAGAAGTAAGCAGTGGGTCTCAGTGG